AAGGGTGTGTCCCCCCCATTTCCAAATTCCGCCACTATCAGCTATTTTCTGCCCTCACTAGCAGTCAGGCATAACAACATATGCATGGAGGGGAGGAGAAAAAGCTCATGGAATTATTATGGGGTTTTTTGAGCCCAGAATTGATGTTTACACGCCAGAGCTAAATTATTTATACACATAATGTTATAGGTTTCACATCGGTGGCTTTTATTAGCAGTCGACGGATGAGAAATCATACCTGACCTACTTGTACAAACCTCTCTTGTGCTTCTCTGTGATGACAGTGTGGCAGGAAGGGGTGAAGGTCCTCGCCCCAGCCCAGCTGTGGGGATGCTCGAGCAGTGGGAGAGCCAGTGGAGGGAGAAGGGCTATCTCAGCACCTCCTACAAGGCACTTTGCTCCTTTAGATTTAGGGGAGAACAGGCACAAGGGGGTTATTTTTCTTGCAAAATCCTGGCTACATCTGTTTCTCTAGGGGGCTCCACGGGTTTTTTTCCTAGGACCATGTCCCCTCCCTTCCCCAGCAAAGGAGAGACGTGCTTCCCAGTGAGGCCTCAGCAGAAGGGAGATTTTTGGGGGTGAAGTTTTCTCTACTGGAGGGGTGGCTGCATCAGGACCATCCATCCCCAAACCACTCTGATGTGACAGCGTTTCCCCCAAAAGACTCAGCCAGCCGTTTCTAAACCAACGTGTCACAGGCACCTGAGATGACTTTCTTCTTGTCTTGCAATTAATGCATTTTTTATAAAGCCCAGGCTCCAGTTTCCTTTCATGTTACCAGGATATCCTTTTTCCTCTTCAGCTTCAGAAGGATTTTTTTCAGCCCAAGTACTAATCTCCAGTGTCCTGCACACAGGACAGAGGGATGAATGGCCCAGCAAGGATGCTGGAGCTCGGCTGGAGCTCATGTGTGGGTGCTGACGATGGCACTGGCTCCATCCTAAAGCTGTTTCAACAGGTGAAACTGCAGCCTGGCAGCAGTACATTCTGGTGGCTTTGCAGCACAGATGAGATTTAGTGCCTTGCAAATTGCAGCACACAGCAACATTTCTTGCTCATAATTGTAGCTTAAATACAATTTAAAGTGCTCCACTTCAATGTTACAAATAACAGTGTATTTACCTGCCCCTTGTTTAAAAAAAACAAGCCAAACAAAGCCACACTTTAGCATCCTGGCCTTTATCAGCAATAGTGTGTCCAGCAGGAACAGGGCAGCGATTGTTGCCCTGTACTCAGCACCTGAGGCTGCACCTTGGATCCTGGATTCAGTTTTGGGGCTCTTCCTACAAAAAAACATTGAGGTGCTGGAGCATGTCCAGAGAAGGGCAACGGAGTTGGTTAAGGGTCTGGAGCACAGGTCTGATGAGAAGCAGCTGAGGGAGCTGGAGGTGTTTAGGCTGGAGAAAAGGAGGCTCAGGGAGGACCTTGTCACTCTCTAAAACTCCCTGAAAGGAGGTTGTAGCTAGCTGGGGGTCAGTCTCTTCTCCACACTAAAAACCAACAGGACAAGAGGAAATGGCACCAGGGCAAGTTTGGATTGAATATTAAGAAAAATTTCCTCCCTGAAAAGTTTGTCAAGCACTGGCACAGGCTGCCCAGGGAAGTGGAGATACCATCCCTGGAGGTATTTACAAGACGTGTAGGTGTGGCACTTGGGGACATGGTTTAGAGGTGGGCTTGGCAGTGCTGGATTAGTGGCTGCAACTGATCTTAAGGGTCTTTTCCAATCTAAAGGATTCCATGATTACATGACTGGGGATGGATGGATAAATGGATATAAAACTGGACATGACTCAGCAACGTGAAATCACAGCCCAGAAATCCAGCTGTATCCCAGGCTGGATCACACCAAGTGTGGCCAGCGGTTTGAGGGAGGTGAGTCTGTCCCTCCAACTGGCTCTGATGAGACCCCACCTAAAATGCTGTGTCCAACTCTGGAGTTCCCAGATATGAAACCATTGGAGCAGGTCCAGAGGAGGCCACAAAGATAATCAGAGAGCTGTAGCACCTCTCCTGTGGAGACAGGCTGAGAGACTTGGGGTTTTTCAGCCTGGAGAAGAAAAGGCTCTGGGGAGACAATATAGTGGCTTTTCAATACTTAAAGTGAGGTCATAAAAAAGACAGAGAGGGACTTTTTACTGGGGCCTGCAGTGACAGGACAAGGGACAACAATTTTAAAGGAAAAGAGAGTAGATTTAGATTAGATATTAGAAAGAAATTCTTCTCTGTGAGGGTGGTGAAGCACTGTCACAGGTTGCCCAGAGAAGCTGTGAATGCCCCATCTCTGGAAGTGTTCAAGAGCAGGTTGGATGGGGCTTTGGGAAACCTGGTCTAGTGCAAGATGTCCCTGCCCACGGCAGCGGGGTTGGAACTTTAAAGGTCCCTTCCAACCCACACCACCCTGTGATCTATGGCTTAGATGCTCTTTCCATACTCCTCTGTGGGGAGGGTCTGCACTAACTTGTGCCATGCCACACGGATGCAACACATGCACCCAGCTCCAGCTGATCCGTGCAGCCACCAAAATGTTAAGGAAACTCTCACCAGAGTTTTTACCAGCAGTGTTTCCCTAGCACTCCTTATATAAAGCCAAAAAGGTGTGGCGAGACACTCTTTCACTCCACTGGCTCCTTGTAATTGACGGAAGATTACCAGGAACATGTTTTTGCAGGAAATATTTTCTAAGGCTAAACAACATTTGATGAGGGTGTGATAATGAATTACCAAGCATATATCTTTGCCGCTACTCCAAATTATGAGTGTTGGTTTGTCCTTCCCTTGTGTTGTTTCCATAGAAGCAGAGCTTAACCTTTTAAGTGCAGATCACAAAGGCACCTAATTCAAGTAAAATTAGACTTCAAGCATATCTGTACTTAATACTCAAGAGTTATTATGTGTTTGGATATAGATGCTGTTGTGATTGGCAGGGAGCATGGTTTCCGGCTGAGCCAGCTGGAAAAACAGCACTGTGGTGGAAACTTTTAAGGTTTTCCTAGACTTTTCCCTGTGTAGTCCACTAATTGCCAGATAATTCCTCTAAAATATGTGAATCCAGCACAGAACACAGGAACGCACATGCAATTAAAGTTATTTATTGTAGGTTTTCTTTTCTGAACTGACAAAGAGGATTTCCCAGAGATCGGCAACACAACACAATGTTATACACCATTTCACAACTAGTCCCTTGTCGCTTTATTAAGAACATAGTAATTTAAAAATATCTAAATATTTACATATTAATAAAACATATATACAGAAGATTGAGACATTTTTACCTAAATATGGAATGATTTTTTTTTCCTTCTCTCTAATAAACCCTATAAAAAGATTTCTGAAGAAAGTCTGAACAGTAGTCACAGTAAGTAAACACAAATGCAATCTTCCAAATTTACAAAATGCTGATTTCCTTGCTGAAGGGTTACGATACGGACACGACGGACTGGAGCCCCCTGCCCAAAGCAGGCAATTCCAAGCCACGAAGGAAGGAAAGACTCAAAATTTAAGGTTTGCAGTGCACATTCAATCTATTCCACAGTTTCAGAGAGAATATGGTCATTCCTAAAAGTCCATGGAAGGTGGGTGGGGAAGGGCTGGGAGCCTGGTTTCTCAGGTGCCAAGAGAACAAACCGTTCCCGTTGGTTTCAGTGTTATTTGTGGGTATTCTACAACATCCGAGAAACGAGCTTTAGGGTTGTTAAAAAAAAAAAAGATTAAGTATTTTGAAAACCATCCCACTTTGTAATAGCACTTCTGTTGAGACACTCAAAAGGCCAAATAGTTTCCAAAAAAACAAATGTACCTAAGATACACACAGGGAAAGGAAACACAATGGTAAAGGCTCTAGCGCGCTTGTCCATCGAATTCCAGCAAACATGCTCAAACTACCTGGTGATCGACAGGTGTTGCAGGCAAGACTGTCTAGATTTTTTCCCAACATTTTTAAAGTGAATTTAGTGCTGATGAAAGGTGCAGAAGTGAAGGTTCGCATGGAGGGCTGTGTACAGTTTTACCTCAGCCCTGACCTGAAAGGACCGACCCTTTCCATGTCTAAGAGGGTAGTGCAATTTCTTGATCGATTCACTCAGCTGCTGAGATATCAACACAGTGCCAGTCGAAAGGTGACTTTTTTTTAAAAAAACAGGTGAATATTGTCACCAAGGGAAGTGGCTGAAAAATCACAGTGAGCAGACTCGCTTCCTGGAAATTGAAAAATTAACACATTTTGAGATTGAGGTGGTAGGGCAAGCTGGGGGGAACAGTGAGGGGAGAATGACCACCTCCAGCAATCTGCTCTACAAAGATGCTCGAGAGCCACTGCACAAGGACCATGTAGGGGAAATTGAGGAATAGCTTCTCCTTGCTGTAACTAGGAGACTGCTAGGAGGAATCTGGCTTTATTTCCACCTAAATCCAGCAAGGACTTTTTAATCACAGCTGTGTATGACTGGTCATTGGTACCGCAGCAGCCAGGAAAGGAAAAGTGGGTCTGCAGAAGCAAAGAGCTTCGGCAAATCAAGTGCTCATCGAGCCCCCAGGGTTCATGATGGAGAGAGATGCTACCCTGGTCCCTGGGGGCAGGAAGAGTCACCACTTCTGCGTGGCTTAAGATGAAACACTGCTGGCAAGCATACAATCATGTGGAAAAATACAATCATGGAGGAAAAACAAAGGCAAGAGAACGACTTCAGAGTGGATACCCCGCTAATTCAGTAATGCATTGGATATGGAGGGAAATCACCTTTAATTAAGATGGAGAACAGTGAAGCAATCTGGCAGTTTTACACGGAAAACGCATGGAAACAACACAAACTTGTAAGGAAAACTGTATGGATGTCCATATCCTCCAGTATGCTGAAGTTCTCATGCCGAGCTTGCGAGAATGTTATTGACAGGAGAGGGTGTTTCTATCCGCTAAGAACACTGATGTGAAATTCAGACTGAAAAATCTGGGTTTGCATCTAGCAGATGATCTGTTGTGGTGTCAAAAAGGTTACCTGGAGGGAGAAAGAGTTTGAAGAAATAGGTTAAACACCCATAAAAATTTAACATATCAGTAATTTGCAACAAAAAAGTTGATATTTTAGAATTATGGAAATTACGTATTTGAGTTTTAACTTTAATTTTGTGATGGGGCTGAACTGCTGGTGTGCACACAGGCAGCGGCTGCTGAGTTCCATTTAGAGTAGAGCTCAATTGGCTAAATAAAAGCAAATTAAATAGATTTTTTTGAATACAAAATTTGCCAGCGAAGTTTTTCACACAACACACAGTGCAGCCCATTTCAGCGCTGCACTAGGCTCTGGCACAAACTGCACTGTGATGCTCACCCCTTTGAAGTTATGGTTCTGAAGAAGTGAAAAAAGCACCACATGAATTTTAAACCTGGACTACGTACTTCGAGATCTTATTTGGAAAAAAAACCCCAAACACTCCACAGCAGTTTAAATGCATATGGGAGAATACATATATATATATATTTTTTAATATATATATATAAAAGGTGCACAGTATGATTATATCCCATCTTTTTTAAAGCACTTTAAGAATATGCTTTTTCTAAACAGAACAATGAAAAGATGGACAGAAGAATTACGACAAGAGCGCTAAGAACACAGGGCAAATAGAAGACAGACATCAATCAGCCTGAGAGGCAAATACACCCCAATGAAAAGCAAAGACTCATACAATCACACATTGAAAGGATAAAGATTTATATTACAATAAAGGATTTATATTTAAGGTTTCAAAAAGGGTTTTTCTTTTTTTCGCCTCCAAGTTTCGTTTTCTTGATATTGTATTTCAAGAGAAAAGGAGACAACCTGTATAGAATTGGATTGTTGCTGTTTTCTTATCATCTGTTTCTTTACCAAGAGATTGCTCTCATCTTTTCACAAAGCTGTATCACCCCTAGACCTGAGGATTGGGATGTTAGTGTTTCAGCTTCCTTTAGGGATATCAAAATTCTTTCTCATCTTGAAATTAACCCCAGCGTGGAGAAACTACACAAACTCTCAGCTCAGCTGTGGTCCAAGGAGGGCTCCCTCATGGTCCTATATCTGCCTATATCTTTCAAATTGAATTTTTGAGATAAGGATTCAAGAAAAGGGTGTTTCAGCTGGCTTACATTTGCTTCCACATGCAGAACTTATGGGTTATGCCTTCCTTTTCAAATACAAAATTCAGATCCTTCACAGAAACTGCAGACCAAAATAAGATGAGCCTTTTTGCAATACCAAATTAGACAGAAAGATTCTAAAAGCTGCCACATTGTCATCCTGATAAAGATCTATCTCACACCTTCTAGGTATCCTGTATCACCAGGAAACTACTCACTCTTCCCATTTAGCCTGCAATAATTACCCCTGGAGTTGTCTGTTCTGTCTCAGCTCAGGTCTGGATGCAGCCTTCAGCTTTTGGTAGGTGCAAAAGCTGGAACTCTGCAAGACCTGAGCTTTGATAACATTTGTTACAGAAAATTTTTCCAGTATTTTCTTGAGATTTATTTGTCAAAGGACCGAAGTTCTCAGCAAGTTTAACTGCCACAGTTTTTGCAATTTACTTTAAACATCCTTCAATCAACAGCCTTTAAAGCCAAGGCCCTCTTAGTGTGGAGGGTGATTTTACAATGCGAGCATCATTTCTGCTCTGAAGTGCTAAAATATAATTGGGAAAAAGTGTCTTCCTCGGTTTTATGAGGATATACCATCTCCATTTTTTACCAGGCTTTTGAGTTCCAAAAGAGAGTTCTGAAAACAAAACACCCCCTGATCTCCTCAGAGCCCAGGACTTTGCTAATTGTGGGCTCAGAGGGAGCTGGTTCAAACCAGGCTGTGTGCACCTGCACCAGCGAACTGCGCTCAGAGCCCGGTCCTGCTGGCACCAAAGGAGAGACACCTCCAAATGCAACTGGAGCTGACCCTCCCCTCCCTTTGGAAGCAGTCCTCTTCCCACCAATAATGAAGAGAGCTGAGAGCAACCACACCTCTCACTGAGGTGTCCCAAATGAAGTCTCAGCCAGAGGGTGTGATCCAAAACTGTGTTGATTGAGGCATTTCAGCATCTCTGTTCCACATATATCCAGATCTTCGTCTTCATGCCACCAGTGCCATAGGCAGGACTGACAGAGCCAGAAACGCAGATTAAAGGTATCTGATTTTTTCCATTTTTTTTGTCACCAACATTTGCCATTGATTCAAATAATTCTCTCTAGGGTGCTTTTCCTTCACAAGTCTTTTCAGTTACAGAAGATCGAGACAGCAACCATTCACAGGTAGCTTTTATCTTTTCTCCCCATCCAGTCTCCTGCAAGATCCCCTCAAGCAACCCAATTCACTCTGGTTTTATTGTACCAACACACCAGGTTAACCACTGATGACTGGATCATTTAGGTTGGAAAAGACCCTCAAGATCATCAAGTCCAATCATTAACCCAGCACTGCCAAGCCCACCAATAACCATGCCTCCGAGTGGCACACCTACATGCCTTTTAAATCCCTCCAGGGGCAGTGACTCCACTGCTTCCCTGGGCACCCTGTTCCAATGCTGGAAAACCCTTTCAGAGAAGAAATTTTTCCTGAGTCCATGATTTATCTGCAACCAAGGCCCATTGCACCAGGCACTGTACAAACACACAGTCAGAGAGCCTTTTCCCTGAAGATTTTTCAAGCTAAACAGAGAAGACACCTGAATGAATTTTTCTTTAAAGAATCTGTCAGTAACACTTCTTTATAAAACTAGCTGTACTAAAACACGGAAAGACCTCTGTAACAGTCATATCCCACCTCTTTTGCTATTCCTTGATAGAAAGCATCTGTATTTTGATTCATAATAATTACTGTCATTATACTGTCTGTATATCACTTTAGATATTTTGCTTCCAACAACAGTATGATATGACAGGGGTATGTACTATAAAGAGGCACTTGCACACATATAATAATGGGTGTGAGTCAAACACTTGGCTTACAGCCTGTGAGCATCACTTCCCCCCCAGTGCAATCTGCAGTGTGGTTTATTTAGGCATTCTTCCATGGGTACTATGGAGTAGTACGAATCACAAACAAGTGCTCCAGCTGAGAAACTGCATGCATGAATGCTCAAAGGTGCACAAGCAAGCATACCACAATGGTGATCTGCTGTGGAGAGGAAAGGGTGTCGCCTTCTCTACTACAACCCTCTCAGCACCCTCATTTCCACCCCTGATGAGCGACACAAGTAGTAACTACAGAAGCCGCGCTCAAAGAAACGCGCAGCAAACCGCTACTTCTGCTCCTTAATGTGATTACCAGAGCGATGAAAAGATAACACTGCGTCGCATTAGCAACCTTTATGAGGGTCCTCTCGCAGCGGAATTGCTTCCCTCCCTGATAAAAGAAACGAACAGGATGTCACTTGGAAGAGACCTTTCAAGCCAGAGCTTCCTGCATCCATTATCAGGAGCTCACCCTGAAATATTATTCAGCGGCTGGCCAGGAAAGCAGCGCGGCAGATCCCAGGCAGCGCGTGCTCCCAGCCCCCGCTGGGACCATGCCAGAACCAGACTAAAGCTGCTTGTCCTCCCAACTGCTCCGCTGGTCCTACTCCTTAGTAACTGCACGTGCTCCGACAGCGCTCCACGGCTGGCAGCTGCTGCTCCTGCACACAGCCGCGGTGTGTGAGAGCTCCTTCTCCAGCCCTCAGGCAATTAGGGATTAGGGAGCCCTTGCACAAGAGACAGATGCTGTGATGGTTACTGGTGGTCTGTCCTCCCCACAGCTGTCAGGTACTGTGCCATGTGCTCAGCAACCCAGTTATCACCCCTGTCCTGCTCCTCACAGCAATGGAATCGCTCATCTCCAACCACTCTTCATTGTTGCACCTTAGAAATAGCATAAAACTGCAGTATAATCCTTGACTCTATTTGTCTGCTTAAGACCTTGCCTCCTTTTAATTTGGCTTTAGGGATAAGGGGCATCATCTCAGTGAATTTACAGGGAAATGACTCTGAAATGCAGGGAAATGACCATCTCCCCAGACTCTGGCCCCACTGCATTTTCAGAGGATGGCAGCTCAGCTCCTGTCATCAGGGCACCTATAGATGGACTGACTTTTAATGAGAGGGTGCTTCAAATTTCAGTCTCGGCTTGTCTTGATTTCAACACCAAATGCAACAGCGCACAAATATGTTATTTCCCAGTCCACACAGCTACAAAGCCAAGCTGCTGTTTAGCAACTGTCAAGCTTTTAAGGCAGGGTGGCTGCACTTCCAAGAATAAGTAAACCAACACTTAACTAGCATATAAATATCTCTGCAATCCTTCTGTGAGTCCAAGATATTATTGCTAATAACTTGGACAACCGAACAGATGCTGAACACATTACAAATTATTGTGTTTGTCCCTACTGATAACTCTGTTAAAAAATAAAAAGTACTCCCAGAAATATCAGGGATGAGCACAAGTCCCTGTCTGGCATAAGAAGGGTAACTTACTGGCCTTATTAGCTTAGCTGCTCCCATGCACCTTGAGGTTTTATGAATATGAAACTGAGGGGAAAATGTTAAGATTCTGATGCATTTGTTTTTTAATACAGGCCACTCAAAACTTTAGATAGGAGAGTCCTGTGTGCAATTACCCAGCTGTACACGGCAAGCCAGGATTACTGAAAACTGCTTCTGTGCCATGAATAAACAAATACACATATTGGAGGCTGATAAAAATTTTAATGCATTTTACCTGTTTGTAGTAGAGAAATGTCCGGCTTCTCATCACAGTCAGTTGCCTCTGCTGATTACAAATATAAACAAGAAATCTCATTACTTTCACTGAATAGGGGAATGCGATTAAAAAGCTACAGACTGTAGAGTGATTTTGCATTTTCTATCTGCTTTCCTCAGCTGCAATTTGCAAGTACTCAGTTAAAAACTCACCGCTTGGAGGAAAAGGTCATATAATAAAAATGCAAACTCAGAAGAGGGAGGTCGGTATTAAGAAGCAGTTTTGCCAGCAATGGGATGGAGCAACACTTGCTCTTTTTAAGGTTTCAGGGTATCTGTATGATAAAAGGAGTTGCGATTGTTTGATAAAGTCACAAGAAAACCCCCCAGCGGTACCTTGGAGGAAGAGCCTCCCAGGCTGGAACTCCACCCTCCGACCGCTGTCGTCACCCCATGCCTGCAGGGAAAGCCTGAACACCCCCATTTCTGCACCCAGACTTCCTGTGGCCACAAGCAGGCTCATTTTGCAGGGGCCAGATTTACTAGGGCAAAATGTCTTCAAAGACACAGGTGGGTGCCCAGTGTAATTAAAAGAGGCACGTAACCATGCAGGCAATTACTGTGTATGTACACACACGTGCTTTCAACCCACGGCTTACGCAAGACCATTTGACTTAATTTGGCCCACGGTGAAGGAAGGCTAAAAGCCTAATTTGTTCATCTCCCATTTGCCAGAGGGCAAGGGTATGCATAAAGATAGCTCATTGCGCTCAGCAGATGTGCAGGGACTTGTCAGGCTGTAGTACCAGGATGGTGCATGTGAACTCTGAGTAAGTCATAGGTGTGTAATAGGAAATTGGTGCCTAACCCACGCAAGCCCTATCCAAAATCCTACTACCTTTGTCTTTTGCACTGCAGCATGATATTTAAGGCCTTCATAGCACAGCGAGATCTTCAGCAAACTAGGTGAGGTCGTAAAGGACAAGCCCATTATTAGTGAATCATAGAATGGTTTGGGTTGGAAGAGACCTTAAAGGTCACACAGTCCAACTCCTCTGCAATGAGCAGGGGCAGCTTGAACTAGATCAGGTTGCTCAGAGCCCTGTCCAATCTGAACTTTAATGTTTCCAGGCATGGCACATCTCTCATCTCTCTGGGCAACCTGCTCCAGTGTTTTACCACCCTCACTGTAAAATCTTCTTCCTCGTGTCTAATCTAAATCAATCCTCTTTTAGTTTAAACTTATCAATTACACTATACATGGTCAGTGTGGTGGATATACATCTACTCACATCCATTCACTGCACAATATCCATAGGGATCAAATCTGACCACCGCTGCAGATGTCCTGAGCAACTCAATTCAGCTCCCACTTGAAACTAATTAGATAAGTGTCCTGGTCATCTTTACCATGGTTCTGCACGTGAGGATGTTGAGTTGTTGCCTTTATGATGACATTGTAAGAACTAATCCAGATCCTAGTCTACACCAGTTTCCTAATGTAATTCATCAATCCTTGGCAATCCACCCCTGGACCAAGAGGCTGCTGTGTCTCCCATGTGCCTGGATGTTAGTTTACTTTTTAGTTGTATGGTCTCTACTCAGTTCTGCAAAATTAATTAACTAAAGAAAACATAAACAAACTAGGAACTCTAGCATTAAGCAGCTTTCCTCCCACAGAAGGAGGTTTAAATGCAGAGCCCTGACAAGTTCACGGCAGAGACCTGCGACTCCATGCCTTGAATCCATGCCTGTTTTTTGCTTTTTGTGAGAAGGTGGCACGCTAGGTAGAAACAAATTCAGTACAGCTCCCTGTGAAAACGCTGAATTTTGGAAGGGATGGGTGGCTCACTAAATGGGAAGAGCTGGTTTGAATGTGGACCAGACTCTCAGTGATAGAAGGACTGGATGTGCAAGGGAGGAGACAGCACGGTGCAACAAGCAGCTGAGAATCAGCCAGCAGGATATACACATCTTAAAAAATCTGGAGTGTCAGCCTGAGGCCAACTTCTAGCTATGTTGTGAAGAACTACCGGCACCAGCTGATTCTGTGGCACAGCAACTCAACATGCAAGAGACAAAGCTGTATCTGGCCCCTTGGGTTAAAAGGACCTAAGCTATGAAAATGGGGGAAGCCGGATCTGAGTGCTGGCAGTGGACTGGAGAGCCTTCCCTCTGTGAATATCAGGGTTGGTGCCAACAAAGGCTGCCCACTCAAGCGACAGCTCTTCTGGAAATCTCTGCAGCGACACCTGAGGTAGGACTAGAGATGTGGTCACCTTTCTGCCTGACTGCTCTTACACCTGGCTAACACTGAACTCAGAGGAAGGCAGTAATACAGAAAGAAACAAATAGGAGTGAGGAACTACCTTGCTTTCAGAAGATAAAGACTCGAGTCTCCAGCTTTGCAGAACCAGAAGATACCTGGCCATTTTAATCTGGTATCTGATAGATGAGGTTCAGCTCTCTACCAATTGTTCCAGTCTCGTTCCTCATGCCAGCACAAATGTTTAAACAGTCACCAAGACCAGATCCAGTTAAAAACTGACAACATGGCCACAGGAATGCCTGTGCCAGAGCCAGAAAGGGAGTGGGAGCACAGCAGATGCCCAGGGAGCTACTCACTCTTCTCAGCAGCTGCCAGAATTTGTTTTATCAAACTAGATGTGTAACTGCAGCTCCAGGTGAAGTACGACACAAAGGAATGACAAACACCTTGACCTCCAAACATGGATATAAAACACCAGCTTCTCACATGTCATTCCAAGCAGGAAAGAAGGTTTGCCTTTGACAACCGCACCCACAGACTGTCAGCCAAACCTCACTTGTCTTGAGCCAGCTTGCAAGACAAGGCAAGCAGGAATAGATCCTACTGTGGGAATTCAGAGCCTCTTGTCTGTCCTTTGCTTAGACAGAGTTCAGTAGCTCTTGCAAAACCTCCCTGGTAGTTGTTTCCTTAGATTCCCCCCAAACTGCGTAGCTTCTGACGCACAGGTTTGCCTCTTAAGAGTAGACTTGCTGCTTTGCTCCTTGGACAGACGTAGATGTGTGCCCAGGGCTGGGGAGTTGAATACAGCAGTTACTCATTTCAATATCGCTGTTTTTATCTAAAATACTGGTCATAAACACACTGTACCACATGCTGGACTTCATCCTACATCCTTCCTTGGCCCTGTGTATATTGCTGATCTCGTGCAGCATGTAGATATTGTGCCAAAAGCACAAACCAGGGAATTAGAAGAGAAATAGAAAGAAAAAAAAACCCCAAGCTCATGTAAAACAATGGAAGCAGTAGTTTGAACAAGGACATGGGAGAAAAGGCATATTTCCAAGAAAAAAGTAAACTCTTTTTTTCCCCTTCTTTCCCACTACTTTACACTGCAACAAGGTGCTAATTTTAAACAACAATTCAAGAATGAAGTGCCACAGCATGTAATTTATTTAACTAATACTGTCTGAAAACTTTCAGCATGTTTTCTAACAGTGCCATGTTTTCCTTGAAGGAGTAGGGCAATCCAAAGTTTCCAGGTAATGCACAAGGTAATCACTTTGCATGAACAGCTCCTACCCTGTGTAACTCCGGCAGTATTAGAATAAAATCATAGAATATCCTGAGTTGGAAGGGGCCCATAAGGACCATCCAAGTCCAACTCCCGGGTCTGCACAGGACAGCCCCAAGAATTCCACCATGTGATTATTTACATATTGTTATTACGTATTACCCACACAGCATCAGCTTTCCTGTCTCACCATGGACAGCTGCTACGGAATAAAGGCTCATGGGCTCTTCAAAACATAAAAAGGGAGGAAGAACTTACTGTGGCAGATGTGTGGCCCCTGACCTGCTGCTTATTAATGGATGGAGAGTTTAGTAATGAAAAGGCTGGAATGCTGTGTCTGGCACAGAAGTGACAGGAACAGCCAGTCAGTTCCTTCTGATTTCACCCGTTTTAAGATCCCTCTTAAAAGGCACTTTGCATTGTAATTCATGCTGCTTTAGAGAGGAAACCTATCCACCTGCCTCATCCTTTGACTTCTTCCTTTCCAGGGTCATTTTGCATCCCATCCCATCCACCAAAACTGTTCAGCTCCTTTCCTGGGAGAAGACAGACCTGGCACTACGAAGCTACAGTGCACTGTGCTGTTGGCATGACGTGGGACCAGTAGTCAAGGCTGAACAATATTATCATACTCTTTAATTTTAATCATAACATCTGCTTGTAACATTAACCTCGCAGTCTCTTCTCCCCTTTGTGACAGCCAACTTGTGAAATTTTGAAAAGACTGAACAAGGCCAATAAAAATTTAATGGCAGTGACAGCTTTATTCTCAGATCTAACAAATAAAAAAAAACTCTACTCAGGTCTCAGATCTCAGGCAATAATCTAAAAGAACTAAGAAAAAGCCAAAGTAAAATAAATAAATTAAAAAAAAAAGAGTATTTCCAGCTATGAAAAATATTGTCACTGATTCAGAACTTAAATGAATTTTTATTTGGCTTAGGATAACAACCTTTCAAAATCTACACAGGGGAACTATTTTCTAGAAAGCAGAATTTTTAAGTAGTTTTTTTTTTTTGATTAGCTTTCCAAGTAGGGACCTTTTTCAGTCCCTAATTCTAGGAGATGAGCCAAACACGTAAATAAGGTTGAAGTTGGGCAGCATCTATGATCCAGTGATCATGATTTCATTTAATTTGGAAACACTCATGGGAGTACACCCTATAGAAAGGGGTACAAAAAGCAGATCTACCCCATTCATTTGCTGGGATTCTCTGAAATTATCCTTGAAAGCTAGGGCAGGATTTACGTTTTCAGACTGAAATAATGTTTCACAGGATAAAGTGGACAGGTCTGCTCATGAATGCAGTGTCTTACTGTCTGGTTTGAAATGAAAAAGTAATCAGAGGATGTACTGGATGGCTCAGGGGAAGGCAAGCAGGATGAAAAGCCTGCCCCTCCTCTCTTAAATACGTCTGCTGTTAAAATTTAGCTCAACATAGTGCTGACTAAAAAGTTGTCTTGTGGCTTCTGTAAAATAAATGGATCATCTTAAGCTTTCTCCATATAAAGCCTGTGCATTATGGCAAACCAGGAACTGATGTAGATAAATAAGTGTGATCAAGCAGCAGTGAGACACACTGGCTCAGAAAGTCTTGGGTGAAGATTAATGCTGGCTCAGATCTGTTCTTTGGGCACCTTAGTCTATACCTACAGGTTCAGCTCATGTTTCAGTGAGCAAGCAGAGATAAAAGTGAAAGGGAATGATCTGTGAGTGTGCACATGAGGACACTCACTCAGGAAGGCTCAGCCCCTGCTCCACCACCCACAGGCAGCCTGGAAGAACTCAACAGCTCAGCCAGAAGAGTGATGAATCCCACATCCCGGTGGCTGCAATTCCCACAGTTTTAAGATTCCTAAAAGCTAAGTTTTGCAACACAGAGCCCTGGAACAGCTTCTCCTAGGTCAACCCTCCCTCCATGCCTGCCCTCCCCTCCTGTTTTGGTCTCTGTAAGTTACACACAATTTTGGCATGATTTCAAAATGAATACTTAAATAGTGCAGTTTTACATCAGGATAAAGCTGCTGAGGGCTGAAAGATTAGGCTAGCAAACATTTCAACTAGTCCTATAGACCTCCACCGGCTTCTGCTAACAGCCATCTGTGGACACAAAATATGGGACTGGATGGATCTGTCGCCTCATCAGCATTAGATTACTCAAATCAGAAGCTCACAGTTTTAACATAAAAATACTAACAAATCTTACTTCAACAAGATGAGGACGTTACTGCAACCAGTTGTCTGCTCCTGCCTCTCTGCTCAGATCTAGTGTTTTGCTGTCACAAAGGCCTTGGAAACATCTCCTTTGCCTCAGTGCAAGGTCAGGTTGGGTAAACTTAAGCCACCAGTGGAGGTGGCAGTGGACGGAAGGGTGCAGATGGCCAAGTGGTGTGTTCAGTCACTTCTGCTACACTGAAATGAGCATGTCTCCCTGTGGCTGCAAGTCGAAGAGAAATCATGGCGCTTCAGGGATTGGCCAGTAAACTAAACAACACAAAAAAAAGAGCTTTTCTACCAATCTAGGGATTGTGTAGGTTTCTTTCAGCAAGTAAACCTGAGAGGTTGCCAGGTACATTGCTGCTCACTACTCACCCACGTACAGGTGAACAAGTTACCTTCCCTTTGCAGGCAGAGACAGTGGAGCCTATCTGATTCTGTCACACTATACTCAGCTTCACATATTTTCCTTCAGTCTTGCTAGCTTAGAGACAATATCCTCTGCTTAGAATCTCCCATCCTGAGCATGGACCAGAGATGGAGGTGGCCCCATTTGAAAGGCAAAAGCTGAATGTCATTGTCATTTTAATTAACATCCTGCAGAGGCACGAAGAAAAGCAAATAAAAAAGGATGAAAGAAAATAAAAATCAAAACAAAATTAGGTCAATCCTCTTTCCTGAGGGATCGTCTGCAGACAGCCCAAGGACCCTTTGCTTACCACATCCTGCACTGCACCCTTCACCTTATTGAAGCCTGACATCCCACTTCCACCCTCCTGTCCTGGGGGGTGACAGGCAGCCTTGGAAGGGGTAGAAAGCAATCCTGTTGTACAGCACCAGTAATCTGACACTGCCTTTAACAAGATTATCTTGTATCCCTCTGTCCTCCCTCCCCCAACACACACAAGAAACCTTTTTTAAGGCCAGTGCTGGTTTGCTTCTCTACCCAGGGAAGCTTATGCTACTGAATAATCTGCACTTTTTTCCTCCCCCTGTGTTATTTCTGTCTCTGGGTGTTTCTCATTTTCCTCAGTCTTATGCTTTTCCCTCCTGGCATTAATAACGTTGTGGAGAATGATTTCAGATGCCAGCCTAAGTGTGTGTTTCAGAGATGCAGCTTTGGACAGAAAATAGTGGCTCTGTGAGACAGGGAGCTGGAGAGGACATTTCCTGTGGTCTCACTCACCACGAGGGACCACGGGGTGAGCATCCCCTGTGGAGCCATTGGGTTCCCCACCCATCAGCCCACAGAGGCTAACAGGCTCTTAATTGTGGTGATGGGCAGCAGGGAAGAGGGGAAAAGGCAGGCAGCTAAATACAGCAACAGTGAAGGACCGTGTTTAATGAGGTTGGCACAAGTGACCTGCCTCAGACAACAGTGTCAGATGCGCTGAGGGAGAGAAGGGCAAGAAATACAACCCTGAGACAGTCTTAGGGAAACAGCAGGGTGAGGAAGAGTAAGTGAAGCCTTGTAGGAAGAAAGCCCCTTCTAGGATTGGAGGCATGAAGACGGAAAGGAGACTAGTTATGGTTTATAAGATAATTACATGTCTCTCAATCATGATACTGCTCTCCCAGAACTCTACTGGGGATTTTGAGACTGCACGTTGTTGTTCGTGGCTGGAGCTGAAAGCTTAGTGCTGAGCTCCACTGAAGGCTGGTCCCAGCCCCAAGCATCCAGGTTATCCCAGCCCAAGTTGAGCAGCTTTGCTGCAAAAGCCTGCCTAGATTACCTGTTACTCACTGTTGGCAAGCTGCCTCTCACGTATTGCAGAACCTTGCTGGCACAACCAGGGTGGGTGGGTGGTTTTTCTGCTATAGTGATGCTGATTCTTTCACAAGGAATTTGAGAAGACTCATCTATCCTTCCAGACACATAGTTTAGAAAAAAGGTCAGCTGGGTTATGTCTTAACATTGCAGTGAGTGGTTTGTCAGACCAAAAAAGACGGAATTATAAAACTTCTACTTGCAACCCTGGATAGATCAGCTAGTTTAGGACTTAGACTTCTGGGAAGAAGGGTTTGGGTGCTAATGGAAAGGAGTTAGAGAAAGATGCAAAGTTAACTTGTCTGCCAAGACAGCTCCTAAACTTGCTACCATACCAAACCTAAGGAAACACTACATAAAAACCTGCCAAAGTGTTAGAGGTCCAATTTTCATAAAGTGAACAAGTACAACACACTTCTGTGGATAGCAAGGCTCTAAGCTTTTAATCTTACACTCACACGTTGTTCCTCATATTTTTATACATACCTGAGCCTCTTTTTAATCGTCTTCTTGCCAGTTTAATTTGATCCTGAAGAATCTGGACCCAGTCCCTAGGACCAGGAAGTTTATCCACATGGTTAGCAGTGCAGTATTTTTCTGTAAAGACTGAAATGAAAAGATACCACCTTTTTGAAACGTGCCAGCAGAAAGGAGAAATGGCAACTGGAGAGGATTGTAATATATATATATATATATCAAATTATTCACTTATCAAAAAGAATTTTAATGGCCAAATCTAGGACTGTGGGAATAAAGCCTAACCCAGCATTTCACAAGTTCATAATTCAGAAGTCATTTGGGTGCATAAATATCACAATAATGCCACAGTTACTACATGTAAAAGCCTGTCACAGAGAAATGTTCTACACCTGATGTCTTCATGAATTTCACACAAAATGATCACAGAAAAATAATAGTGAACTTTGAACTGAGTCTCAGGTGTGGCAGGCACTTGTAAATGCTGCCTTCCATATGGTACAGGTAGAGAGCTGAAGATCTGGTCATTTGGTGACCTCTTGGTCAGGTTCCTAAGGCTGCAGGCAAAGTGATGAAGGACTGAAGTCTTACCACTGTGGAAATCATAGTTTTTATATTGCCAAACCAGACAGAACAGAATTTTTATAAATCTACTTAAAAAAAAAAGCACCATTACAGAGAAAAAAGAAACATCCTACAGGTTCGATTTTGTATTTTGTAAAAACGGTACAGAGAGAGTCAACATTATCTTTAAATCCATATTTACAGCAAACCTAACAATGTTATACCAAAAATATAACATTATAAAAGGAGTGAAACTGATGCAATTGATTTTCATCATGCAACTGAGAGGTGTGCAAAAAATAAACAAGAGCAGAAAGAGAAAAAATATTATTGCTGTTAGTATTGCTACTGTAGTCTTGGTCAGAGGTCTCAGAGCCCAGTGTCCAATTATGACTGGCAAACAAAGAGAGAAAACTGGTCCCAGTTCAAGGAATTTGTAATCCTTGAGAATAAGTGTCACACAAATGGGATGGGGAAATGTGCAGCAAAAAAAAGGACAATTTTAGCATTTTTATACACATACTTTTGAAGCAGTGCCAGCTGCTAAGTATAAAGGAACCAAGAGCAATACCCCCCTGCAAACTCCTTCCATGTTAACAACTTCACAAAACCATGGCATGACAGGCATTAGCAATACTTTCCTCTGCAGTCTGATCTGCAAGGATGTCAGACCAACTCTGAGGGCTGCCTAGAGAAGTCAGTACATCCCCACACATTCACAGTGTCCAACTTGCAACAATCACCATCTTTCTGAAGGCAGAAATAAGAAATAACCTTTCCCTTCTGAATCCATATGGTACCTGACACAACGGGAACCTGATTAATGACTTATGACTGCAACTGCAGTTCCTGCTCGTGACCAGGGCCTGGGGACAATCCGTGACACCAGGCTGTCCCCAGGCCACCTGCCACGGGTGCCCACTGTGGGAATTATGACTCCTGCCCCTCCTTTCCTGCATAGTGAGCCAGAGGCTGGCAGTCTTAGAGAGTGAGGATGTTAACTTCCTTCTCTTCTCTAAATTGTTTGTTCTTTTCTTGAATGAAAGGCAAAAGAGCCTTGATTGCTCAATGTGTGGTTAGGGAAGACCAATGTGGACAAAAAGGAATGGGAACTGAATAGCAAGGAGGCAGGAGAAGTGTGACCTGCCCTTTCTAGTCCATCTGAGCTGCACAGTGTTAACAATCGCTCTGTCATAGAAACAGAGACTGGTTTGAGTTGAAAGGGCACTTTGAAGATTGCCTAGTCAAACCCCCCTGCCATGGGCAGGGACATCTTGCACTTCATCAGGTTGCTCAAAGCCCTGGCCAAGTTGACATTGAACACTTCCAGGTAAGGGGCAGCCACAATTCCTCTGGGTAAGTTCTGCCAGTGCCTCACCACCCTCATCATAAAAACAAACAAAAAAAAGGTCTTCCTTATGTCCAATCTAAACCTACACTCAGTTTAAAACTATTGCTCCTTTGTCCTGTCACTATAGGCTTTGGTAAAATATCCATCCTTGTTTTTCTTACAAGCCCCCTTTTTATATTAAAAGGCCACAATAAGGTCTCCCCAGAGCCTTCTCTTCTCCAGGCTGAACAACACCAGCTCTCTCATCCTGTCTTCACAGGAGAGGTGCTTCAGGTCTCTGATCATCTTTGTGACCCTTCTCTGGACTCGTTCCAACAGGTCCACGCCTTTCCTGTGCTGAGGACCCCAGAGCTGGGTGCAGCACTGCAGGTGGGGTCTCACCACAGCGGAGTAGAGGGGCAGAATCACCTCCCTTGACCTGCTGCCCACGCTGCTGGTGATGTAGCACAGGACATGGTTGGCTTTCTAGCTGTGAGTACACATTGCTGGCTCCTATCTAATTTTTTGTCCACCAGTATCCCCAAGTCCTTCTCTGCAGGGCTGTTCTCAATCCCTTCATCCCTAAGTCTATCCTGACAGTGGGCACTGCCCTGACTCAGGTGCAGGCCTTGCACTTGGCCTTGTTAAACATCAGGAGGTTCACATCGACCCATTCCTCATGCCTGCCAAGGTCCCTCTGGATGGCACCCCTTCCCTCTAGGAAATCAACTGCACCATTCAGCTTGGTGTCATTGCAAACTTGCTGAGGGTGCCCTAGAAACCACTGTCTGTGTTACTGATGAAAATATTGAATAGTACTGGTTCCAGTATGGATCCCTGAGGGATACATCACACTTATATATCTGAACACAGCTCATTGATTTCTGCAGGGAAGGATTTCACTGGCTGAATTCCTACTCAACAACATAAAGGAAAAATAACTGCTTCTGATTATTTTTTCATCTTTTTTTTTTCCTCAGTTCTGAGTGAAAGACTGGTGCAGCACACAAGGGAAGCTGATTGCCCAGGAAAAACACTGCAACTGATTCAACAAGTGCCACTGAATACCCAAAGTCAAAAGACAGAATTGCTCCCTGGCTAATCATCCTGTTGCAGAAGCATTAAATTACTTGTAAGGATGGCAGTGAAAATGTTTTCAGACAGGAAGAGCAATTTTCAAGCAAACAGTCCTTCCTTCAAATTCCCTGCACTTTTTTGTCGTGAATGTAGTCTTTTGTATCTCTGTGATGGAAAAGGACTAGAAGTGCCAATAAAGGGTATCTGGGCACGTGGTAGAGGAATGTGCTAATGATAATAATGCAAACAACATGATGTTGTTCCTGCAGAGATTTCATACTGGTTCAGTTATTTCTTGGAATAAATGAAACCACAGTGTGTGACAGCCCAGCTCCTCAGAGGGAAGAAGGGTGCTATTGGAGCCAGACTGAGTAAAGATCCACAGGACGTCAGCTCTTGGCATCTTATTCCAGCATAGCTTTTAGGGATGGGCTTCCCTATCAGGAATCAGGCAGCAGCATTTGGGCAATACTGTAAATGCCAATAAAGATCACTGTTATTACAGCAGTTCCTAGTAGTATCACTACAAACGAAATTTGTCTCTTGGAACTACAACTCCCCTCTTTCTTCTCCCAAACTCAAGCAAAGAGGTTAAGAGCAGCCTCGGAATTTGCTCCACTAATATGGGCTTAGCTACTGAGAAACATTGCTCCCTGCAGGGGGTGATGGCTGCTATTTTAGTAGTGCTGCTGCATTTACTGTAAAACATTTCTTTTATCAAGTGCTGTTCAAATTAGAGATTTAAAAAAAAAAGTAATTTTGAATGCTTTTTCTTCCATTTAACTTATTTATTAAAGCTTTTAATGAAGAATGAGATAGAGTGAAATCAGACTCAGATTTTTGCAGATTATTGAGCTCAAGAAAGGAAGGTACAAAAAAATGTTTGTGACTTAAACTTGATTACAAGCATAACTGTAAGAAAGACTGCCAGCTACTCTGTAAAAATGTATAAGGCTAAGACATAGGCACAACATACACTTCGCTGCAGAAATAAACAGCTTGGAAGGGTCCTCTGAAGGCCTTCATGTCCAGCCTTCACATTGCAATTTTCCATATGTCCAATGCCTCTTGTGCCTCTGAGAAGAGTATGACTCCATCTTCTCTACACCATCCCACTAGGTAGTTGTGGACAGCAATAAGATTTCTCTTGAATCATTTTCTCTCCAGTTCTCTCAGCCTCTCCACCTGTGACTCTTCACCACTTCCCTGTTTTAGTACTGTAAGTCTTGGTGGCCCTCCACTGGACTCAAGCCAGTATGTCAATGTCCTTCTTTCATGGCGAGAGGGGTCCGAAAGTTGGCAGAGAGGTGGTTGCAAAAAGTTCTCCTGCCTCCTTTTGCTGCCAACACACTTACAGAAACTCTTCTCATTGCCCTCTGTCTCCTAAGTAAGCAATCTGTACCTGAGGATGAGTCACAGCCTCTAAAATAAGCTTCGCTTTGCAACATAGACTATTTTTTGGTAAGTTGGGTATTTCGAAATAAATAGAATCCAGTTCAGAACCTCTGGTCTAATACTAGCTCCTTATATGTTGTGATCACAGAGTTTGAAGGTACTTGTGTTCTTTGGAAGCTAGAAAGCAGTGATTACTAAGAAAAACCACCCAGCACAGGATGCTCACACTGACCAAGAAATGTGCTCCCCGAGAAGAACGACCACCAGTTCTTATGAGCATCAAACTCATCTCAGCCCCAGCATTACCTTCCTCCATCTCTCCCCAATCCAGCCACCCACTACTAAACAATTTACAGAGCAGACACAGTCAGATGCAGTGCAAGACTTGGAATTTTGATTGAAGGGTATCAGTTACACTGTCATTACGTTTTCAAGATTTCTTGGCATCTCTGATACACAGGGAAAAAAAGTAATTATCTTATATGAACATTGAGTTTCTAACCTTAGAGCCTGACTTCAGAAACCAGGATCATTGGCTTAAAATGAACACAAGCTGTCCCCGTAGAAGCTATTTTTAACAAGTGAATGAAAGGGAATAAAAATAAGACTGCATATTTTAATAGACCTAACACACGTCAGAAATTCTAATCTCCTTACACTCTTCTTAGTTGAGAATATGTTCTAATTACACATGTGAAAGAAAGCAGAAAACATACCTTTTATTGCACCCACAATATTTTGGTCTAGTCCTTTCCGGTTGTCATTGAGCCCTCTTTTCCTTTTGCCATTTGGTAAAGAGTTAGCCAAAGTCTTGTCATCAAAAAATGCACAGACCAGCTTCCTAAAGAGCAGACTTCCTGAGCGAGTGTAGTTTGATAGTATAGAGTCCAGCTGAGATTTTGGCATGAAGACATCAAAGCCTTCTGCAAGTTGCACTTCTGGCTACCAAAAGAATATAAATGTTTTAATTAAACGAGCATTCAAAGACATTGTTTTATTTCAATCACGCATCTGATGAGACTTTACAATCACGTCATCAAACCACGGATCTTTTCCCAGCTATTCAGGACCTCAGCAGCCTAATTCATTGAAATCAAACCCCATCAGTGAATAAGCACCTTAAAAGGCAAATCAAATAATCTGTCTGGCCTCTGTAACAGTTAACAATTACTGACATTATTTCTAGGTGTGCAGCTAACAAAAAGACAAGAGATATCTTTCAATACTTGGTAATAATGGCAACCCAGAGGATCATCCCAGGGCAATGCTCCTAAGAGACGCCTTTTAGACATGTATCTAACCATTTAATGGACTTGTTTCACTGCCAAGTGCTGTGGGGCAGCCAGGCATTTCCAAGAAGCACAAATGCAGGGATACTGGTCCGTTCCACATGGTTTCCCAGGAGGGCTTCTAGTGCAGATATGGCACATACGAGTAGAGGTGGATGATGAGTCTGAAGTTGCCCTTGGAGCTCACCCTTGCTGAGCATCCATTTCTCTCTCCTTTTCATATTCCCAAAATGCATCCTTAGAAGAGGATGATGTCAGACAGACAGCTTATTTCAGCACAGAAATCCTCAACAGGAAATCTCAGGGATTTACAGGACTGCTTACAAATGAGACAGAGGGGAAGAAATACTGTATTTCACAAGAATCTTCTCTCAAGTACTTTCTGGGTCAAAGCAGATAAGGCCTTTGAGAAGTCCTCTTACCAAGAGCCTTTTTGCTGCCCCTGTCTGTACATATCAGAAATTACATGAACAGTATTTGCAGAATTTTCTTCGTAATGCTTATGTAAGACTTCTGCATGGAATAATTATATTTCTTCATTATGTTTTTTCATGAATAAACTAAAATTTTTAAAATATTATTTGGAAGCTGGCAAGGAGGGAAAAAAATCTGTGGTCATGATGAAAATAAGGCAATATTTCAGCCTTGCTCCTAAGAACTTGCTTTTTTTCTCCTACATGAAAATATATCCACCAATGATGGTGCATTTTCAAAGACGTTTACAGAGCAAGAGCAAGTGCCATCTCCCATCAAATCACCTGCAAACATCTTGAGTCTAGACAGAAGAAAGGGCTGCCAACCTCAGAACAATTTGGCTGTGTAACTCTTTTCCCATGGATTTTTAAAAATCAGTATCAAGAGAGTTATAGCAAGCAGGATACTTTCAAAGAATGTACTACCATGAGATACGGATATGTGTTGAGTCATGAAGGTTACAATGCTTTGGGAAGTCAGGATGAAGAATCTTAAAACATGCAGATTACAACAACAACAAAAAAAATCTTAAAAGCATGTAGTTTCTCAGCTTGTTCTGGATGAAAAGTTGTTTTTTACCTTGGGAACTTTCAAAATGCTGGATCCAGCAAAACAGTCAGAGTTACTCTATTTGACATCTGACAATACTCTGATGTAGGTGGGTTTTTAATATGTTACTTCTAAACTTTCTGGTGACAGAAAAGATTTTCAAGAGTAAATAAATGTGGGCCAAGTTTACAGCTTGGGAAAAATTCTATTTCATGTTCATCAAAACCCAGAATGTAGTTGTCATGGTGATGAAGGTATCCTGGTCTGTTACTTGGGTCTTCTGGGAGACATCTAAGATGACCTGGATGACAGACACCCAGGATAGACAAACCATCTTCACTAATCATAGAATTGTTTAGGTTGGAAAAGACCCATAAGATTATCAAGTCCAATGTTTAACCCAGCACTGCCAAGCCCACCACTAAACCATGTCCCCAAGTGCCACATCTACACCTTTAGTAAATACCTCCAGGGATAGTGACTCCTCCACTTCCCATGGCAGCCTGTGCCAGTGCTTGACAACCCTTTCAGGGAAGAAATTTTTCCTAATATCCAATCTAAACCTTCCCTAGTGCAATTTGAGGCCATCTTCTCTTGTCCTGTTGCTTGCTATGTGGGAAAAGAGATGGACCCCCACATGGCTATAACTTCCTGTCAGGGAGTTGTAGAGAGCAAGGTCACCCCTGAACCTCCTCCAGGATGAGCCCCCCCAGCTCCCTCAGCTGTTCCTCATCACACTTGTGCTCCAGACCCTTCCCCAGCTCCACTGCCCTTCTCTGGACATGCTCCAGCCCCTCAATGTGTGTCTTGTAGTGAGGGGCCAAAACTGACCCCAGGACTGGTGTGGCCTCACCAGTGCTGAGCACAGGGGGACAATCACTGCCTCGTCCTGCTGGTCACACCATTGATGCAACCACCAAAGGCCAGTTACTCTTGTGGTACCTTTTCTGACACCTCCTGCTTAAATCCCAAAAAGCCAGGATGATTGTGAGGCCCCACTGTCATGGCCTGTATTCAGACCGAAAAATCAAGATCAAGCAAGCTTTTGCCCTTCTGCTCTGTGGGAGGTTTCTGTCTTCCCTAAGTTCACTTTAGAACATCTGCATTAGGCTTTGACAGGTTACCAACCACCCCGTAATACAGTCATAAAATACATCTCAAACCTTAACACTGCACCAGAATGGAGGAGTCAGCTTTATTTTAGTTTGGCTATTTTATTCTTAATATAGGAATCAACTTATCACTAAAATAATTTGGAGGCAAAAACATGATTTATTCTTGTTTTCCCTTTAGTAGTAAACCACTCTTCAATCAAAGACAATCAGTAACTAATTGAACTTTATGATCACTTTGAATACGATTTCTCAAGGAAAAAGCACTTGTTAGTAGATAATGATCATGCTTAAGGAATTGGTGGGTAAACTATTCATGTACAATAAAACAAATGAGACCTGAATGCCAAAGGCTTCTGCTGTGCTAAAATTAACAGGTAGTGAATTATATTTAATCCTAGACTTCTTAGTAGGTTGTAATACATAGATTAAAAATTATTAGGTTATAAATGAAATACTGTAACAGTAGAACAAACACAAGAACGTTTAACTAAGAGTAACAGATCATTACATTTAAAAAGCAGGTTCTCTGATCCATGGGCCAGATTAAGGGTTGGTCTCACAAAGACTTTTTCCATCTTTGTAAGCAGTAGTATTTCATCACAGCAGGTCTGAACTAATTGCACTCGTTTTGGCAGCTCCAATTTTATACCCGTTAAACTTGGATGTTTCTTAAAGTTCAATAAGCGCTGGCAAAACAGGAGCGGCAGCAGTGGTGGTGCATGACACAGCACACACTACAGACAACCCATGGAATATCCTCAAGGGAACATGGTGCTGTGTAAAGTGTCTTTCAGTTTTTTCAGGCATTCAGACATGCTGGTCATGAGCACACCAGAGATACTTATGAATAAATAGAAAAAGATAATGCTGCCATTCATTCTGACAGAAGTGACTTTCTTTAGCTTTCTCAAAATGTTTAGGGTCACATTTTATTTTCACATTAAATATATCTGTTTTCAGAACTCAAATGTTTTCTTTCCAAAGACAAAGCAAAATCAATTTGTTTCTCTCAGGGTTCTGGCTCTGTAAATTTAGCCAAGCAACTACTGTGGCAAGCAGGGGCCCAAGCATGGGTGGGCAGATGAGGGCCTGATTTATGAGCCACATGTTTTCTCTTCTTTTTTTCCTTAGGTCAAATTGGCAACTACAAAGAATCGTGTCCAGCGATGGAACACATTCATAAAGCCAAATTAAATTCCATCGCAAGTACAAAACTGTTTTCAAAACCGTGTTTCAAGCTGACAAGAGTGCCACAAGCAAAGAAAAATTATAAGCACAAATTGCAGACTGGAGATAAATTACCAGTCCCTCCCCAAACCTTTCCCTCAAACATTATTAAGCCCAGTACTACAAAAGGAAAACCTCTGAAAAAGCATCAAACTAGTTACTCTGTATCACTACACTGCCTCTGTGGCATGAGACTGCAACCTAATTAGCGGTGTGGCTTGCATCTCTGTAACTGAATTATTATGACAGCTCTTTTTTATTATTAGTTCCCTCTTCCAGAAAGGTAGAACATTATCTGCTACATTGTTTTCATTTATGCTTATTAATACTGAATTTAATTATGTTTTTCTAGCTCATAGTACTTAGGAAATTGGAAAGCGCCTGCTCAAAATTAAAAATATATTAGAGAAAGTAATGACCAGTTTACTTGTCGCTGAACTGGTTCGGATGACATCAATTTAGTCATTAAACAAAGCCAATCAGCCACCAGATACATGAAATTTCTATCACTGTGTACATGAATCAAGGAAATATGCCTACTGCAATTTTACATGGGAAAAGAAGACATTTTTAGAGAGGCAAATTTTGGCCCCTTTAGTCACATCATCGACATCATCAACAGTGTCAAGGCCCTCATCCAGCAACCACAGTGATGGAGACTAAATGACCGGATTCAGCAAAGACCGAATATGAAGTTTACAGAGGTGAGGAGTGCCCCAAAGCCAGTGGGATCAGACAGGCATGAGAGCACATAAATACCCCTTGGCAGGATAAAGGCACACGTGTTACTATTCAACAGCAATGACTGGCTGTGAATGGTTCATACATCCAGCACTTTTCACGGCTCCTCACCTCACGGTGGCTCTTGGCAGTGGGAGAGATGAAGTTCCCACTACAAGCACAAAGAACTGGAGCTTTGAACTCAAGGAAGAACTATACACTCATAAAAGTTGGAAAAAAACCCCAACCTTTGTAATCAGCACTCCCCTCATCTAACCCTAACATCTCCATTCACCCCTACCCAAGATTTCCTTATTTATTCTAACAAAAAGTGGGAAGAGACATCAATGGGATTTGAGTACCGATTCTCCTGAATGAGTTAGTGCTTTAAAATCCTGCGATCCTGTGCATTAAAACCTGAACTTACATCTGATGAAGCCGATTCAAGGATAATTCCAAATCCTGAAACGGGGCCTTCTGGTTTTGGGGCGGGTTCAATCGCTTGCAGACTCAGTCGTTCTGAGTTTGCTGAAAGCTTCTTTTCATTCTCTGCAGCGCTGGGTTTCTTACTCATTGCAACTGGTTCAATAGTTTTGAGGGGCAGTTTTCTCTTTTTATTTCTCTTTCTTGATATTGTTGACTTTTGTGCACAAATCAGAGGAACAGGAGGCTGCTGTCTGTTTTGAGTCCCAACTGAGTGAAAGAAAGTAATGCATTACTTTTATAGACAAAAGCAAAGCTATAATCACAGAGATGCACCATTAAACCGCCGACACACTGAACTTATTTTCTGGGTAAGTGGTGTGGCTTCCAGGACTGCTGGTGCAGGGGAAACACTTACATTTTATCACCTTGGCATAATTTTCCAATCTGCACAATGGGAATAATGACAGTGAGCTATACTATGAGGCTTTTCAAGACATAGTGATAAATAGCATTTTAGGAAAATTAGGAATACGTGGTTCTTTCTCCTAGTGACCACTGGGTGGTTGGTGACATGAAGCACTTAAGTGATGATTGATTTGCATACCCTCTTGAATGACTGAGAATCTCACTGTCTTTGAAGATCTTTTCTTGATAAAGTAAGATAATACAAGTGCTAATGCAATTACAGTTATTTTTATGACTGTGGTCTCCAAGTTAATTAGCTCAGCAAGAACATTTCAAGTACCATTATGTCAAGAATGAGTGAAAACACTATTCAGTAGTTTAATTTCTGGGAAAAAAGGTAACCCAAAGTTGCATTGGTTTGTTTTGCTCATACACAAAAACTGACACGTGTTACCTCTGAAATATAAGAAACCATACTTTATATATCTCAATATTTTGCATTTCCCAGTATTCACAATAAATTAAGGCACCAATCCTGAACCTGAACCTGAATCAATGTGAGTGAGTCCTCACTCACTCACTAGCAGAATGCTATCAAGATACAATTATATGTGTGGATAAATCACTAAAATCAAGGTCGAAACAAAAAAAGCCAGAAGTGCTTCACATGTAGATCACACTCATTCAAATTATGAGTGGGCTACAAAAAGTCCTCATCTACAAAGCCTGAGGAAAAAAACAAACCTTACAATACTGTTTATTAAAAGATTTCTGGAATATTTAATTTCTGGCAAGGACTTACAAGACTGTGATGTGTAGTTCGTAATTAAGACAGTAGGGTGTTTGAACACCAGAACAAGTTACTACACTTTAGCTTACATGTTTGCATTTTAGGTTTTTTTTCCTTTTAGCAACAAAAATGCCAAATGATTTTTTTTCCTCTGCAAAACTATAATTTCAGAAAATATGAAGCACTCCCAGTGAATCAAGAGCTTCACGAATTAACAAGGTACTTACTCTGTAGATACATAATAAATAAGATATGTTCCTGCTATTGAGGAGCCAGCTCTTTTGGCATAAACCCCAGTCCTATAGCTGTCACTCACAAGACATTTTCAATCACAATGTAACTTCAATGAAATTGGAGTGATAAAGAAGCCCACGTCCCAGCAAAGACTGTAAAACTGGGCCTTTGTGTGCTTCTTTGTAAATTGATGACTTCTAGAAAAGCATTTTTATGCATGTCAACTGATACTACAAAACCTGTCTGATCCTTCCCATCACTCACTCAAACATTACACACCGTGGAGACAAGGAGTTTAGTCAGCCCTTCACTCCACCCATGTTTCAGTTAATTACTCAACACTCCCTTTTCTTACAGAGGTCTTACCCAGCCACTCTAAGAGAAAAACCGCCATGGCTCCACTCCCCATCACTTATGCTGGATGGGCAAGTCAACTGAAAAAATCTCCAACATGTCCAACTCTTTATTAGTATTAACAGTGATTTTTAGCTTCCCAGCAGCCTATGATGACCTACCTAGCTCCTACCTGCCATGGTCTCATTATCTTGCTGGCTCTAGAGCTCTTCTGGCTCTGCACTGTTCTGTTTCAGCTCCCAACGTAGCAGAAAACTAGACAATTCCAATTTCATTTTTCTTACTGCTCAGATTAGTGAACTGGTGAGCAAATCACAAATTAAGTAGCACTGTGAAAACAAACTGGGGGTGGTTACGGCATATTGACCTACCCACTGAGCTCTCATTACAAGAGTATCTAATCACATTAGATTTTTTTTTTTAATTTAGCCTTAAACGATTCCTGTAAGATAAAATCCCATGTTACAGGTAAGGATCTGAGAACTAATAATTACATTTCCAAGAAACCTGTGAAAATCTGACTTTGAACAACGTGTCAAGAGAGCAGGAAATAGTCCCAAGTTTTCCTGAGTGCCCACACAGACTTCTGTCTTATTAGACCATTCCCTAAGAGGAAGATCATAGAATCACGGAACAGTTTGGGTTGGAAGGGACCTCCAAAGATCATCTAGTTCAACACCCCTGCAACGAGCTTGGCCATATTCAACTAGATGCTTGTCACAGATAAACACATATGGGACATTGTACCTGTTTGAATCTGCATCAATTTTCGCATGGTCTTGAGCTCTTGAAGAATCGCTTGCAGGGTTGACTGGCAATTACATGTACAGCAGTTTGGTCCAACTGATGAATTCACCATTGGGATTTCTCCTGAAAGAGAGAGGAATGAAATGGGGAAAAGATCATGTAACCCACACAAAACCACCCAAACAACAATTAGCTGCAGGTGTTTGAAACTATTATCAATATACCAGATTGTGAAACTAGATCCAAAGCAAGAAAGCAAGTAATTTTCAACATGGTCCCTTTTCAGGGGAAAGGGCCACTCGTTTTTATCCAGTTACTAACATGTGCAATCATATAGAGTTGGGATGCAATGTTACATGGGCTGGAGAAAAGCCTGAATACAATGCACTCCTCACAGCAGGGCTCTCTATTGTCAGGCTGGTTCATCTTGAATAACAAAAGCACCAAACCTCATTATAAACATGCTCACTTTATCACACACATACAAAAAAGTCCATCTCCTGGAACAGTCTTACAAAGAATGAAGACACTCTGTGTAATAAAATACTGTACATCAAATGAGGGTCTAGGAATTTTTAAACTGCTTGAATGTTACATGTGATTCTTTACCATGTGAACAATTGAGAATGAAAATAAAAATACCCAAAAAAACAGGACAGAAAAGAACCACCAGCAAAGAAAGCTTTCAAATCTGCCCTTCTGTTTGCTAGGGTGGGATTGTTTTCTATGATATGTTTTCCAGCACTGTGACCTACAAGATGGGCTTTCCACAGTTTCCCTTTGAAAATTAATACAGTAGTTCAAGACATTCTTTTTTTCTAGTAATTCTTACTAGGGTTTAGCTTGACTTACATACTTCTAGTCCTCAGCATTGCCTTTATTACTGCCTTGCTTTCCAGAAGTTTTGCATTGTAGGTCCTGAATTAGGACAAGTTGTAACAGCTGACAGATTTTGGGCTTTATCTGGATAGTTGTATCCTGCACTTTAATTTAAAATAGCTGTATCCCCAGCTTTAATGCTGCAAATAAAAATTTCAAAATTCAACAAAACACCTAGCAGTATCTGGCTGAAACTGAGGCCAGATGGGATGCACCTCCCTTCCTTTCAAAATATGCTTACAGTCATTTAAATTGATGGGTATTTTACTGCTCATCAAAGCATGCAAGAGGAGGGATGATCATTTTACAAGGACAGGTACAAATGGACCTAACAAGAATCACCTCACTTGGTGTCACATGTGGACTTCAGAGAGTGTATTTTCCTTTTTCTTCCATAGCCTGACACTTATCAGGTGCCCTTTAATCATTACCCAGATAAAGTGAACATAAGCAACTCATTTAATCTCCACTCATAAATCCTCCCATTTTTAGTTATTACTTTTGCTTTCCTCTGAAGCCAAACCAGCCAAATATCATTTTAGGTTTGGGTTAGTGCTCTTTCATCAGAGCTCCCTGATGTCAGACCCACAGAGATCCCCTGACTTCAATCCTCACTTGAAATGGCTGAAAATCTGGCCACCTCTAAATCACTACCATTCTTTCCTAATTCTTCCAGTGTGTCCCTCCATCCTCACATCTCCCTTCCCAAGCACTTGTTCTCTACCTCCTTCCATTCAGTCCTTCAGATCTAAAGCAACATCTATCAGACCTGAGCAAACTGATGGTCGTGCACCAAAAGTGAGCTACTTGTAAAGCTGAACTGATGTATCCCTTAAAGATTGTTGACATCTTCTGGGTGTCACTCTCCTCCTTTCCTCAGATATTTAGACTGTCCACACTATAAATTTTGGTATTTTAAGATATCATCCATGTTAAAACTGCACTGAGATAAATGGACTAGTTCAAAAATCTCTGCAAATCGAGCAAATACAAATGCAATAGCACCACTGGCTTCACCTCTCTGAAGTTTCAGCTGCAAATAAAACAACCTTTTAGAACTAAGAAGTTATCTGGAAAACAGGCTGTGAGTCTCCAATTGAAACAAAAAGGTTTCTGACTCAGCAGGACTCTGCCTAGTTTGATCTCACCCTTCCTTTGTACACTGTCTATTCACTGGAAGTTCCTTGGGGCATGGATAGGATTTTACCTTTTCAATGGTCCATAAAGTGTTTAGCCTATTGTTATAGGGAGAGAGGGAAAAAAATAATGTTATCTTTAGCTTTACAGCAGATTACTCAGAATCCCTCACCTTGACTCCACCAATACCCTTTACCCACCTGTTAGAGGTAGACTTTTAGGTGGATGAATTTCAAGACTACTTTAATAGCATAACTCTGTACCTTTCAGTAAGACAAGCAGGTACCCCCGAAATGGGAGTCCCAGGAAATTAGGAGAGTTTTATTAATAGAACATCCTTCCTTCAGTGCTTTCTCAGTTGTTTAAAGACTAGTCAGCTTCTCAAGATAAACCCAGCCCTCTCTCTTGATCAGAATCCAATATTCTAGTGGGCTTCCGGAAACAGTATTTAAAAGACCATAATGGGGAACCAGGGCTGGTGGCTTTTGTTTCCTTCTTAATAAAAACTTTACATCATGGTAAACTGCATGTGAAAACTTGGACAAATTGTATCAGTAAATACCTGTACATCTTTCCTGTTGCAATGTTACGTGTTCCTAATGAAAGCACACAGGCTCCTGATGGAAAACCAAAAGGTCTATTTTCCCACTGAGGCATAGGGGATTTACATTACAATCCCCATTATAATTGATAGAAATTACCCATGTAAATCTACCATAGGTACTGGGAATGGGAAAAGAGACCACCAATATTTCAAATCAAAGCAGGGTTCTACTGACTCCATACATATTCATGAAGGTTTTTTATTTTCTTTCTATCCTCCCTCCTCTGATCAGTTATTGTATTGTAAGAAACATCTTGTAGAGTGTTCTCAGTCATTGTTCCAAGCACTATCTTTATCATTTTTAGAGGACAAAAGCAACCCTTTTCTTCTTGTTATAAATCAATTTTTAATTTTAAAAGGAGATCAGACTTTTTATTTTTATGAAAGAGTCTTTAAAGAGCCATCTCCCTCTCTTTTGGAAGCTAGCCAGCAGGCAAATTTGATACCTGCTTGTATGACTGAGAGAAGGAGATGACACAAATACATCAGCTGCTTTCCCTGTGTGAGCAGTAAGTAGCCCAGAACAGCGGTTCTTGAAGCTGGATCTACTGAGAGGGAATTCCCCTGCTGTAACATTGCTACCAGTTTATATTTGAAGAGCATGCAAGTACTACCCATTGAAAATGATCCTGATATAGCCCAGAAGCAATTCAGCTGCTGCATCACTGCTGGATTTCCCACAGAACACAAGAAACTCAAATGTCTTAGAAAGACTCTGTGAGCCTGTTGTCTCAAACAGGGCAGACATGTTGCTCACTCTAGCCCCAAGGGGCTTCCACTAAATGCAGTGGGTCACACGTGTCTACCCAACATCCTGACTTGTGGAACTGCCACCTTAAGTCTGGCTTGGAGTAAATCATTTTGCTTTTCAGGTATGTTCCTACTCATTCCTCTGCTGCAGCAATGTCTAGGCTCCCCTCATTCCTCCTTTGCTCTATTTTTGTCAGTACCTTTCTCACTAATGCCTTCTGTTAAACATCCATTCCAGCCTCTCCTTGATCCATCCCATAAGTAGGTAACTTACTAGTGAGATGGACTTGATGTGCCTACTGCATCCAAATTTGAGTAATTCAGGGGGCCTACAGGATGTACCTTTACTTCCTAAATAGTATCTATCCACAATGGACAGAAAGTTTCTGGACTCTGATCACCTGCTACAGATACCTGAACATCTTCCCAGTGATGACCTCAGCCTGACAGCCCCAGGTAACAAACAACCTTATGTCAGGCCTGAACAGTTTTGCTCTGGTAAGTTAAACACCATGGTAAGTACCAAGGAGGAGTATCTCCCTTGAGATATTTTTCAGCATCTCTACACCCAGCTTTTAGGGCCTTTGTCCATCCGCTGAATAACATCTAAAATGCTGAGTTAGATGCTCAGGCTTTCAATGCTTTCAATGCACGGGACAGGGGGAATCAGGCATGTCACAATGCCCAGAAGAGCTGTATGCTGGGTGAAAAGCAGTTTTAGAGCTCTTGCTCATAGCCCAGAACTTCATCTAAAGTTTTCCTTTCCTAGAGTCCATGCTTCGGAGCCAAAGCAGCAAAACTGCCCAGCCTGATCACAACATCTCACTGTAGGCAGACACCTCTTACCAAATTGCTACGCAGATTGTCTTTTCAAAGGTGGCCAGCGGAGAGGGCCCACACCCATCTTTATGTAATAACCCAAAAGATTGCATTCCTTTCTGCAGCAGGACAGCTGCAGAGGGAGGTGCCTCCTGGGGCACTTCCCCAAGAGCTGGGAGCCTGGGCATTCCTCCTGTCCAGCCTAGGGGGTTGCTCAACCCAACTCCTTCACTGTCCCACAGGCCACTCTAACCTGTAAGGTATCATAAATCAGCTGAACCCTTCCTCTCATATTAAAAAAAAAAATCAAAGCACTGACATTTTCTTGCATATGGGGCCAAATCCTGTCAACGTGTTTTAGCTCACATGCTGAATCAGGCCCCGGAGGGGATAGAGGTGCTGCTCCACCCACTTTCTGGATTTGGGAACCAGGCACCTAATCTGTGCAGGCTTGGGCACTTCTGTGCATGCAGAGAACTGTCCCTGCTGGTGCTCAGGGCCTCTCAGGGCAAGGAGGCAGATGTGTGATGAATTTTGTGTCCTTTCATATTTAGAAGGTTGTTATGGTGGGACTTTGGCAGCACAGTTTAACGTGGTAGCAAGACTTTCATTCTCTGGGACTTAACACAACAAGAGAAAGGCATCTTAAAGGCACACTGCCATCTACCTCAGGGCAGAATCCTCTGCCAGTACTAGAAGGGCCACGCTCTAGTACACACTGTTCACAGGTAGACTTCATCACTTCTTTTCTCCAATGGTCTCATAGGAACAAAAGCCTACGGCTGTGATAGAATTTTGTCCCTGCAGTTCAGTGGCCTGTTATAAGGCTGATGCCATCCCCTCGTGAAAGGCAGTAAAATCCTGCTCCACGAGTGGTGTCACAACAGCGCTACACTACTCATGGCAAAGAGGAGTGGTAGAGGTTGACATTTAATTACCCATGAACTTAATAACAATGGCAAAAGCTGTTTTAGTAAGCACTGTAGAGAAATTAAGCATTGAGTAATTCTGTCCTATCACCAGGAAACCATTTTAAAAGCTAAGACAGATGGTAGCAGAACGCACTGTGCCCACTTTCACACCTTTCTGAAGTGATAACTATGTGCTCATTTTGTAGACTCTGAACTGTAACTACTTTCAGTGCAGTGGTACAATATATCATCACAACAAAGGCAGATATTTAGTACAGAACAAGGAGAGGGGAAAAAAAAAGTACTGTTCTCAGTATCTAACACAGATCATACCATTGGATGCCACAGTTCGAGTCTGATTTTGGAACGTTTTGGATCGAGTTCCGTATTGCCCTGAAAAATGGCTGGCTTGGGGTGATAATTCATTCCATGCACTGCTCTGGGAAGGATGAAGGCTCGCCTGGGACTCTGCAGGGGGATTCAGGCGCTGGGCCCAGGCTAAGTCTAAATCTTGGGGCTCCTCCTTCAGTTTTTCTCCTTCTTTGCCAACTCGTTGATAGATTCTTCCAGTGCTGTCATTCAGTAATCTTCTCATCCCTGTAATTTGTTTTTTAATTTCCCGGCTTTCATCTCCTAATGAAAACAGAGCCACAGTTATCACTGTAAATTAGCAAAAACAGCAATGGGTAGAGATTAGTGATTTTAGATACCAAAAAGAGTTGGAGCACAGAATTAAATAAATAAAGACAAGAAAGAAAAGGGATGGTTGAGTGGTCGCTGGGATGTACCAGGCTACGCTTTCACACAGCCATGGCTGACAGCTCTCGTGGCTGAAAGACCTGCTGAACTTGGCTTTCTTGATGCTGTTTCTAAAGCTTTGATGAGTGAGATTATTTTTTGCCAGAAGGAAATAATAATAGCTACAGCAGTTTCAAATAAACAGTCCTTTTAAGAGACTGATCCTATTCAGGTATTGACATCAGTGGATATTTTCCCCGAGTAAAGCCTAAAGGATCAGACCCTTTATGTATCAGTTTGCTGTATGCTGAAGGATAGATCCTAAAAAAAAAATTAACACAAAAAGCACCACATCACACATAGGCACACACCAACACTGCATCTATTGATTTTAATGAACAGAATCAGTTCCTTAGTCTACAGAATTTAATAATACTGGATTATACAGGAATAAATTAAACAGTAGCTAACGTGTATAACTGTATATAGCTGAACTGCTGGATGTCTGGAAAATGTAGATTATAAAGACAAAATGAAAATATACACAAGAAAAATGTGACTGTTCCAAATAAATTCAGGGCATTTAAATAACAACAGTTATACACTTTAATACTCCTGGCACCATTTAAGTATTAATTTTACATATGAAACTGCTGATTGCACAATGAATAGATGTGTTTTGGGCAGATAGCAGCTATTTTGCTCGTTAAAGCATACATTATATTTCAGGAGTAATAAGGAAGTGTTCATTGCCCCTTCTGAAATAAGAAGCTGCTGGTTTTTTTACTGGTAATAGAAAAATGAAACACCCTAAGCAAATGGGAAAACGAAGATGTAGAAACTGACGAATCAACCTTCCTCTGTACTATTCTTAATACAGTAATGTCTGGTATCCTCTAGTCAATTGACATCCGTGCTTCCCAAAATAAACCTATTTTTGGCAAAGCTACAGTGCAAAGGAAATCTCAGAAGAACAAAACCTCAACTCTCCAAAATCCAAGATGCAAGGTGTGTTGTCTCTGGTTTAACAAGCTATTTGAAAGTGTGCTAATTCGAGGCAGGTGAACAATTTTATCAACTTGACAGCTCTAATAAGTTCCTTAAACTTAGATGCATGCCTACGAGCAGCTACACCAGACAGATGAAAGAGCAGCAAACCCCTCCCCAGCACAGGCCAAGCTCAGTGTGGCTGGGACACACTGCAAGCCCGGCATAGCTAGGGATGTGCAGCACCTGAAAGAGGGATTTTTTGCTCTAGGAGGCGAATAAGCAGAAGGGAACAGGAGCTCTACGATCCACTCCAGCCTCTGCTGGATCCCAGCATCTCCTGCTTGACCTGGCGCACCGGTTCCCTGGGCTGGTGCCAGCTGGCTCCAGCCCACCCCGATCCAGCGAGGAGAGTGGGTGGATTGCAAGACAGCTTCCAGTCCAAACTTAGAAAAATATTTGCCAACTCCGTACAGCGACACTCCAGCACCGCTTCCACTCCAGCTAAAGCGGCGAGAAAAACCCTCTGCAAGGGAGTTCTGCGCTGTATTTATTTATTTTGTTGGTTTGCCCGCAGGTTTATGTGTGCGGGTGTGATTTAATTAACAAATCACAGCACCAATTCCTTTAAAATGACACTTTTTGGCTTCAGCCCAGCCAGGGGTTGGCTGTTTGCAGTTCCCAGCCTTGAGAGGCTGCAGAGTACCGCCGGACTCCAATTACTGAGGCACTCAGACCCGTACACTGCAGACTGCCTTTTCTCCTGTACGTGGCTGTACCTGTTCATAGCCCAGATCCAAACACTCCCACCACACCGGAGCCTGGAGCAAACCCTTACTGTTGTACCATTTAACATTACACCAGGCTCTCAGAGTTTTATGTTGGCAATTTGGATTTGTATTCAATGGCAAAATGTAGGTGAGTATCAGAACAGCTTCCCACCCACCCCCTCCTGCCGGGTGCAGTGACTGTGCTACATGTCTGGTCGGGTGACATGTTGTTAGAAAGATTAAATTTCCGTTACCCAATTACATAAAATATTAATGTTAATTGAGCTTATTCAGCCTTGATTCTGTTCCCTTGTTCCTTCATATAGAAGTCTTCCTATACAGTGACACGAGCATACTTAACTCCAAATAAAAACCCCTAAATTTATGTTAAAACAAACCCTGAACTTTAGGTAAATCCTTACTTAAAGGAGAGTCCCCTTTTGTAAACTTGTTTGTTGGGGTTTGCGTTTTGGGGTTTTTTTTTTAGGAATTTTTCTGTTTGTTTTGTTGTTGGTGGTGGTTTGGGTTTCTTTTGTTGGTTTGATTTGGTTTTTAAATATGCCTTCTATTTTACAAGGAAGGGCAATAAACCATCATAGAACATGCTGAGTTGGAAGGGACCCATCAGGATCATCGAGTCCTACAGGACTACAAGCCTGACTTAAGTCTTCAGTGCAAATTTACATCCCTCCTTTCCCAGTCATGACTTTTTACAGCTTTAGCTTGTAACAGGCCAGGAAGAGCAGCATCCTGCCCAACAGGAGTGGAAAGCAGCTGATGTTACACCATCTGAACCTGCAGACAGGAGCAACACAGATTTAACTAAACAGATTTAACTTCTTGCTCCCTGGTTATCTCATTTGGCTATTAGCTCTAGAGCCCCGTGATAGCATTTTGTTATCAGCTATTCCACCGCTGATAATTTTCACAGATAATAAACATGTAATTTAAAAAGCTAAAAAGAAAAAAAAAAGAAAGATGGGGCACAGAGAAAACAGAACTACTCAAGCTAGTCCTACAGAAGAGCCAGCCTTCCTTTTTAAATGCTGAATAGGATAATCAATATGAAAAAAAATAGTTTATTACACAGAAATCTGCATTACCTATCTGTGAAAAGCCTTCCAAGATAGATGTTAAGGCCTGAGAAGAGTGGTGCCTATTTCAGCCTCTCCCTGTACATATACCAGGAGTCCTCACTATTCCCAGGGAGATGGGAATGCCTTCAAAGGGGCGGCTACAGGATTTGCCACTTGGATTCCCTACGTAAACCCTTGGGTTTTATCTGAAACCAATGAAGTTACTTGCAAAACACTAAAATATTTACAAAATGCTACTCAAAATAGAACCATGACAAGGTACAGCCCTATTCAGGGCTGTATATACAGGTAGTAATTGTCACAACAAAAACATAACAATTTTTAATAGTTACTGTTATAGGTGTTTCTATAACGGACCCTTATACACAACCCACTTTTTTCCACATGACCTGACCTGTAATCTTATAAAACAACAACAAAAAAAGTAAAACAAAGCTCTTCAATAAAAGCTACACTTTGAAAAGTAATTTTCACAAAATTCGTTTCAATCTATTTCCTTGCTGAAAGTATAGAGAACATAAAAACTTCCTGCTTTGAAAGTTGCAAAAATGTATAAAATTACAAAGGCACAAATGTAAACCAGAACTGTCCCAGGATGTAGTAGAATCCACTTGCTAAGTGTGCAGCTGTCTGAAGAAATAGACCTGTAAACAACTGCAGTTAACAAAATATTAATAATAATTCATTACACTCTTTGCCTCTATATGACTGTCCATCTTTTCACTATTATGTTTATTAAACCAAATCTAGATATAGCACATCGCCTACCAACAAGTTCTTACACTTTTCCCAAATAGTTTGTCAAATATTATCACAGCACTGCAAAGAATTATAAAATGATATATAACCGTACCCACATGTTCAAATATTACTTTTATCCCACTATCAGAGAAGTGGTAACCACACCTGTAATAATGTGTGGTTTAAAGTGTATAAGTGGGTAAACAGAGTTAAAGTTGGACAATTGTCTGTGTTAGATATTTTCTTCCTTTGACTCACATAAACAAATGGCCATAATGTTCTCTTGGTCCAACATTTTGCAATTAATTTCTTTGTTTCTAACATTTATGTTTCTCTCATGTTTTGGGAAATATTCATGGGTAGCTGACTTTTAAAATATAGTTTTTCTATTAATTAGTGTCTAATTTTATGTTGTTTGGGCAGCTGAAACTCCTATGGAACTTTTTCTTTTCTTGACTGTACAAATAGGGCTTTTTCCTCCATCAGGTTTTGTATTTCAGATTTCCATCTTTGTGTCCAACTATGCTGAAATTAGTGGATGAATTCAGGAGTTATCTGGAGGGGAGGAATAGCAGCAACAGGCAGCCAGACAAGCACATGTGAGCTGACAACAGCCTGCTTTGTAGGGAAGCGAGGCTTCAGAGGTGAGAAAAAGTGGAAGTCGATGCATATGGCTTGAAAGCTCAACAACAACAACAACAACAAAATAGCTGCAACGGGTTATATAATCAAACATTAAACTGCAATTTATTAGATGCCACTTGAATGCTGCCCTCCCTGGAAGGGGGCCAGCAAAACTCAGCTGCCGCGTTTGAAGACTCTGTAAGGGCTGATTCAGAGCGGCCCAAGGAGGCACCTGCACACAGGGCACACGACCCTGCTGCTCAGCCAGGCTGAACTCACCAAACACCTCTTGGAATGCTACAGGGTATTCACGTGTTTCCTTCAGAGACAGTTATCCCAGAAGGGAGCCCAGCATCCCTTCTCAGCAAAAACTATACCCACATCAAATAATAATTTTCAAAAATCAAGATATTTTTGTCACTGTCATCCCATACCAGAAATGATCCTGAAACAGAAAGCTGTGAAGGTCAGCACGGGGGGAACAGAGGAGCCATGTGCGTGGTTCCTTATCGGATCAAAGGTTTCCTAAATCACGTGGAAACTTGCTGTAACTGCCCTGTGCATAACTGGAATCGGGCATCTGCGTAGCTGAATTCATGGGGTAAGCACAAATTCCCAAAAAAGGGATACCTAGTCTGTGCTGGCATATAAGAACCTACACTGAAGAAAGAACATGGGCAACAACACTCTCAGCAAATGCAAAATCTAAACCCCAAGTCATGGGGGAGGGCAGTCGTCACGCACCATGTCAGAGGGTCACACAGGCAACACAAGTTATGAGCTGGGGACTTTGACTACCCCAAGCTAACATGTAGGGACATTTAAGCTGTCTCAGTTGAAGCATCTTAGTAGTGCTCTAAAGCATCAATTAAAAGCACTTGCCTATCTTCATGTCATCACACAAAGCACTGACATTGTATTTACAGGAAAGCTGGATCACTCTCAAATTAGACCCCCTACTCCCAAAGCCAGCACGGAAGTACATGGGTTGATAACCCTGCCTACCATGAGACACACAAAATTAATAAGCACCACAAACACTAATGTAAGCAAAGCAATTTGCAGAATCAAGCCCGGGATCAGACCCTGAGATCATTCAGGATTTGGGGGGGGTTATTTCTCTGGAAGCTGGGTCAGACTAGATGGCACAGCCATCACTACCACCACAAAACAACTCTTTGGAAGAGCCTGGTGAAAAAGTTTCAGAAACACCTAACAGGAGCAGCTACAGAAGCCCAGGTTACACACTTTGATGCCACACTGCAACAGCTAAATCACTCGGGAAAGGACAAGTGAGCAACTGTTCAACAAAAGTATATATTAATGGGGTCATATAATTAAAAAAAGTAATAATAGATATGCAACAACTTCCCCCAGTTCTTGGAAATATCCCAGGTCAAGATCATGCTTCATCCCCAAGGAGGAATGCTTTACAAAGTTAGATCATTAGAGACCACAGATACAATAAAATAAACTTTATGCAGTCTTAATTACAGAAGCCACTACTGCTACCACCAGACCTGGGATATAATCCTATTAACAGTAACACAGGTGTGTGAAGTTACTTGTTAAGTCAACTTTTTCTCTGTGAATAAATTGCAAAGGATATAATTTCTGGGACAGAATAAATTCTTGAAATTAGTGAGTAACTTATGCATCGCTCCCCTGCTCCAAGAACACATTATTTATTTTTACCATGACACAGAGAAGTTATTAATCTGCTGCCTTCCACTTCAACAATGCGAAATGCTGTAAAATGCACAGACACCTGCATTACAGTACATTTCAGTTCCACTTTATATCAGTCATAAACATCTCTGTTTTGGACATCTCTTCAAAACAAATGCTCCAAGCACACTGTGCGTAGCATTCGATTTTATGAAACTATAAAAGTTCTTCACTGTTAATTACACAGACAAATGTCTCATCACACATTTGATTACCAGGATAATATAATTAGTTTTCTACATTAACCTTTCAAACATAGAGCCTGAATTTCAAGTTGAAAGCATTGTAAAAAGGAGGTATACTATATTTCTACCTTTTTGTGATGGCAATAAAATATTGAGACTGAAAAAAAGCAGTATGGTGTATGCAAAAGATTTTTTCTTTTTCAATGGACAAGCTAAGCTTAACCAGTACTGTCCATAACACAGTCCCCTCATGGGTTTGTAATTCCAAGTCTGGGCCTGCAGCCCTATGACAGGAAATTTATGCTGATAACTAGTAAAATCTCAAGTCAGGTCTGTCTTAAATCTTGTCCATGTTTGAGGTTTAAGCACTTCACTCTGGGATGCCTCTTCCTTCTCAGACTGAGCAGCCTCTTCTGGTATCAGATAACTAAGCCCTTCCCTTCAAAACAAAAGACATTCCAGTGCTCATCTGCAAAATGCAGTGGGGATATTCTACACGCCCCCCAAAAATTTTTAAAGACTGTGTTTAAGCATGTCCTTCATCTAGAAAGATGTGACTTCTTGTTCATCATCTTATCAGAACAAAGGATCAGAGGACAGGACAAGCCACCACATCTCCCACTTCAACACTCCACCACGAGACAACTTCACAAGCTCCCTTCAAAAAACAATTGGAATTTACACCATCACAACCATCAGAACTCATGTCCACTACCATGTTCCTTTAACTGCAGTGAAGCTTCTTCTAGTTTTCACCCCACACTTACACAAAGCCATATTTTGCCCACCTGTGCTGATGCAAAAAAGACTATCTAGGTTTAACAGGTCTTTGCTGACATTTGATCCTTAATTTATCTGTATGTTAAACAGGCTGGATTCTTCTGATTTACTTATTTACCCTAGCTCTTCTCAACAGCACATCTCTTCAGTTTGAGTTCTTTGTGCTCAGCTGCGCAGCCAAAACATTTTGCACATCCCATTCCTGATAAATGTTCACTCATTTATACACTGCCACTAACATTTCACCTCTTCAAAGGTAATAGCTTCAGTGCTGGATCTTAGCATCCATTCCATGCTAAAGGCTGCATCACACTGAGGTTTCAACAGCTGATCCCATGGATCACTTCAATTAGAGAACAAACTCGACTCTAAACCAAAAAGTCACAAAAAACCATCCTCCTCGGGTAAATTTTGGCATGAAAAAGTGAGATCAAGTGAAGCACCCTGAAGCACCTTATTAGCAGAGAGGACACAGAGCTGGGGAAAGGGTTGTGATCCCATCACCCCTGAAGCACAACAAAGAAATATTACCCCTTGCAATGAGAATTTTCTAAAAGGAAATCTGGAATGCCAAATGCCACGTACACCAGATCCCCGTCAAAAAGTGGGAGTCCAGATTTCAAGTGCTTTCTGCTAAATTCAGTCCCTAACACCAGTCTGCAAATCTTGCACGGTCACACGTCATTCAACAGTGTCAAACCCAGCATATTTTGAGGAAATCTAAAGGTTGGACACTTGGGAAATACGATCTTTTCCTTTCCATAGCAACTGAGGGCTAGCTCCCAGGACTGCAACTCTGTGCTTCAATACCTGATAAGGAAGATCCTTGATAGAACTCACATTCTTAAAGGTTAAATTCTGACTGACTCTTGAAATAGGTGAACTTGAGGCACTTAAATGCCAGAGCACCATCGGTCACAATGAAAAGCTGAGCATAATAAAAAATAACAAACCCAAAACAAATATAAGGACAATACAACCAAACCAAACTCAAAATCACTTGGTCTGACTCACAGCACAGATGTCAAAGAATAGACTCCTGCACATTCTTAGAGTACCCTGGCTTAAGCAGACTGAAGCCTAATTCTTGCCAAATCTTTATCATGACTTAGGGTTGGAAGAGAAAGTATTTGAAGTAAACCTCTGGCGGAGCTCACTCCATCAGGTTTATCAGACTTCACTGAAAGTGCTTATAGAACACGAAATCCAAACACAAAGCACAGTAAACACTTTTGCTTCTCCCTGGAAAGGGGTGTAGGGAAGAAATATTTGCTCAATATCCTAATGGTGAGAAGCTAAGAAGGGAATTTAACACAGCTCCAACCCCCATGTAAATGTTCCAATCATCAGAAGATTCCACACTGCCCAAAACATCCTCCTGTTATCTCCAATTTGCTGCTGACCTCTAGAAGAGGATGTGACACTATGAATTTAGGAGACAAGGGCATTTTGCACTCAGACTGACTTCAGGTGCTGACTCCCACTTTCCAATGCTTCTTGCCGGCTGCAGGGGGCAACATGCACTGACTACAGAAATCTAAAATCACCCCACAACAATATTTAGGCTCCTGGTGCTGTTAAGGAGAGGCAGACATCTCCAGATTTCTTGCTGCAAAAGCACGTGCTTTCTCCTAAGCCCAAACAAGGTGTCCAAGAGCTTACTTCACACAGCCAGAGTCACGGTAGTTCAAAAATCTGACCCTTACCTCTATGAATTTGGCCTGCCAAACTTTTGCCAACAGGTGCTTTACTCAGGAGAGGTCCTGGATGTGACAGGAGGGAAACAGGAAAGGAAGAAGCACTCCGCAGGTGAGGAGTTATACGGGACAAAAAGCACATAGGAAAGGTAAAGGTTCACTGATAACCAGTCCTAGCAGTCCTATCATGCTGTAGTATGTATCATGCTGCAGACTCTATATTACTTCTCTATTTTCTTTACACATTTGTAACTGTTGATTTAATTTAATTTTGCCATGGCAGGATTAGCAGGCAAGCTCCAGAGGTGAAAGGACATTACATTAAGACAGCACATTAATCCTCTATCCCACCCAAGGCAGAAGCAAAACCAAACAAATAGCAGCTTCCTGGAAATTGAATTTCTGTTATCCAGATGTCAAAGATGTAATACCCCAATTACACAAACTATTGCCAGTGAAGCATGCCAGGGAATATGCAATGTAAATGGGGTGAGCACAGAGCTGCAAAACTGCAGAGTCAGCATCTGGCTCTCCGAGTGAGTGATAATTAGCACTGTGTGTAGACACTAATAAACATTTATGTCTGAAATTACAACTTTTAGCAGTGTTAATAAAGGATATATTGGCAATTCGTAGAATAAAAGGGTCTTGAAAAGAACGTCATATTAAACAATGGCAGGCGCTTCCTGTGCTTGCACAGAGATTTTTTTCCTCCCTAATTGCAAATGGCCACGCTATGTTGCTTGGAAATTAATCAACACAAGCACATACCTAAAAAAACTGGTTGTGTTTCTTTGGTCTCCCCATTAACATCATTGCTGTAGTCAGAGATCTTATATATCTCATGATGGTAATCTGGAATGAAAACGATAAAAAAAATTAGAACTCAAGTGATCTGGAAAAAATGAACACTGAACACATTGCTACAGTTTTACTACATAATTTATCAATATATCTGCAGTTTATTTCATGTACATCAAATTAACCACAGAAAATGTGCTCTGTATCAGCACCTCCTAAAAAAACCTTTGCTCACACTGGAGAGACTCAGCTCAAATATTTCACAGATTTTAGGGAACAGCTACGCCTGCCCTAAATTACTGTGTTCATTTTCACAGCAAATTATCCCACCAGATGCCAATTATCTGGCTTCTTGTTTTACAGATGGAAAGCAGATTTATAATGAAAACTTTACCTTCCCAGAGACCAAGGGAAACTTTCAAACTTCACCTCAGTAAGGAAATCGGCAACGTACATCAGGGCTGTATTGTTCAGCTATCCTGACTCATACCGGTGTCACTAGACTTCAAATTCTGAAGAAAGGAGGGTCAGGGACATCTTAGGATATTCACCCCTAGAAATCCATGTCTGTGATGACTCTAAGAATAAACATTGGCATCTCTGTATATGAGATGTTACAGGATATTAAAAAAATAAAATTCACCACTGAATTTCTATTTCAAATAAAAGAGTATTTTGCTGTGAAGGTCTCTGTTGTAACCCCAGGCAGGTGTTCAGCAGAACGAGAGCTTTGTTTACATGTGTGCACAGAGGGAATAGTAAGTCCAAGGAAAAAAAAAAAAGCGTCTAAAGCAGTTCTCCTGGATGCTATTTCTGACTCTGCTATTGGCACACACTTTGTCCTTCGGCAAATCGCTCAAGACCGAACAATATATTCAGTGTCTTGAAACAGCCACCTCCCCACCTCACTCCTTCAACGCCCTCCCAGTTCCCAACGCTCTCAGCTACTCCCTCCGTAAACTGGTTTTTATGTTTACTTCCCTCACAAAAAGCGAGGCAGAGATTAACTCATGGGAAAGCACTTTGAGGGATTCACTTAAAAGGCACAACAGAAACAGAGGGCAGCATAAGCAGCTTGTCCTCCCACAAGCAGCACACCTGCACCTCTGACCAAACAGCTACAGGATTGGAAAGGTCTCCTGAAGTCAAACTTTTTTTGTTATGTGCTGTTTATTTGTATAGCGCGACTGTCTCGAGGGCACAAGAGGAGGAACAACCCAGTAAGTAAACTAAAATCAATCCTAACACAGTGGCGCAACAGAAAGAGAAGGCCTGGAAAGAAAACGAGGGGAAAAAAACCACAGCAGGGAGTTGGAGAGGTCAGCGATGAGGTGCTGCACAAAGGGCTCCTCTGCCTCCCAAGCACACCCAGTGAGTGGAACGGGTAAAGGTGAAGTTTGAGATATGACATCAAGGAAGTGCAGACTCCTTTCACAAGGCTAAAACAACGGGATTTGGGCTGCCTTCCACGGTCAGTAGCTGTCCTGCTGAGCAAGGGGAGTGATGGGAGTGGCTTGGGGGGCACCTGATGGCCAGTCAGGGTCAACCCACCAACTCTGCACCTTCATCCTCTCAAGGGCTTCCAAGATCTGCTGGGAGTAAGTACATGGAAACTAGGACTTAAATGACTTACAGACTCATGGTCCTAAGATATGTAGATTACACACGGTTTCTTCTCTAGCACTTCCCTCCATACATCCAGCTGGTCACAACACTCTTCTGGTCTGCAGCTGATGCCTTAAAGTCACCACATGTCAGCCCAGAGGTGGCTGCGTTTTAGCGCAGGAATGGATTTCCTCTTGATCTGGTCACTATTGATCATCTCGATAAGGTGCTCTGAAGTTATTTTTGGGACAGAGTAAGCATTGTACAGGCACACACCATTAGCAGTGTGGTAGATGGTGTGTTACCAATGAATTGGCACACCATACCCTTTTCTCTTTGGTTTCCTCCTTCTGCCTTGGATGTCACAGTCCAGGCGCTGCAAAATCCATATCAATTTCACAACAGTAAACACTAAACTGTGACATTACGGAATGACTCCTGCAAGAGGCAAAGGCCAATTACAAGAGACAACTATTTATACATAATTATCTTTCTAATCAACTGTGATAGAAAAAGAGTATGCGGGTGCAGACTCACATGCAAAATGTGATTTTTATCTCCTCCATTCTCAAAGTACAAAGACGTAATTTTCTCTCTAGGATGTGCTTTTAGTGTAGCTTTCTATTTGACATTCTACATCCAAAAAGAGACACCAGATAAAATAAGAATTACTAATAATGTATCATCATAGCTGAATTTACCTATTAAAACAATGTTAAACAGATTGTCTCATGCACTGAAGCATATCTAAACCTGTAAGCAGTGCAACTGAGACTGGCAAAATAATCACCTGTTTCTGATAGTGCATGTATTCTTTCTACAGGTCCATTAGGACAGAAATAAAACCAGGTCTTCAATTTCAGTTTTGTTTTTCCACGTTTCACTTTCACCAACCCTGAGGCTCCAGACCCGTCCTGCACTAACTCTGCCTCCCAGTCAGGAGCACGTTCACTGTCAAAAACCCAAAAACCAAACCTGTTCTCTGCAAAAATCAAACCCTTGATAGGTTTGCTAAAGCATATAGAGTTTCAGACACATCTGACAGGTCACTGACCCTCTAGTTTCTAACAGGGAGCATGTGTGATGCTCCAGACCCCCCTACCACTATATAGCAGTCATTATTTACTATTCCTACTGAGTTTATTTTCATCTTTGAATTTCTTCCCATCGAACATAATTTTGCCAAGCACCTGCAAAGACATCATTCTTTAGGCAGCAAGTCCTGACACTCTCGTATGTGGGTCCCCCCTTTCACCAGTGTGACATTACACCCAAGCAGTCACCTGCCTTGAACTTGGCATGCAGGACACACACGGGGCTTCATGGAGATATTCCCGTCCAATACTTGAAAACACAAAAGGAAAAACGATCTCGAATCAAATCCATCAGGGCAAAAACATCTCATCGGCCGAAAAAGGGAAAAATCCCCAACCACAATAAATTCCTAGGGGTGGGAAGTCCACCTGTTAAAATGCCTACCAGAGGCTGCATCTTTTTTCCCCTTTAATTAAAGAAAACAACAACAAGACTGAAACACAGAGCTGTGCTTCTTCCCCGACATGAATTCAAATATTTCCCCCTCGCGATCCCTCTTAAAATATCCTCTTTTCCAAAAGCAAACACACCCCGAGCGAACAAGTTACACGCCGCCGGCTCTCCCCTGCCCACGTACAATTAATTACCTGCGTGGATTTTTAATAAAGCAACCTCGATTCAGCTTTTCTTTGAAATACACGTATGTACACAGCCGAGGGGACGAAAAAAAACACCCCAAACACAATAAATCCACAAGAGTTGAATACTAAGAAGGTCCGTCGCCGCTCAAGTGTCATTATTTTTTTTGCTCGCTTCCCGATTTTACCTTTTCTTCCCCCCCACCCCCGCCCAAGCAGGATTTAGCACGAAACACGATCTAACTTTATTTTGTGCAAGATCTGCCTGGAAGAAAACCAAACACGTCCACCTTTCTGGGGGAGGCGGGGGGGGGGGGGGGGGGAAGGGGAAGGGGGGGTGGTGGAAACAACACATAACACACATGCAAAAAAATAATGAAAAAAAAATTAAAAAAAGAGGGAAGGTGGTGAAAGAAATGAAATACATAAAAGGCGTGCAATGGTTTGGGGGAGTTCCAGGGGAGGATTGCGGAGTTCAATAACAGAGCCGGGGGAGCGGCGGCCCGGGGGCGCCGGCGTTTCATAACGCCCCGCTCCCCCCGGGGCAAAAGTCGGGGCTGCCCCCGGCCAGCGAACAAAGCCCCGCCGCCCCCGCCTCACCTTCGTTGACCAGTTTAAAGCTTTGGGATTTCCTGCTCCTCTTCCTCTGGGCGAACTCCATGGTGCGGGCAGGAAGGAGCGGGGCGGACACAGGACCGAGCTCCGTCCCTCCGATCAGCAACACACGCGGGGGTTGGGAGACACGGCGGCTCCGGCGGCGAATAAAGGGATCCGGGACAAGTTGGCTCCGCTCTCCCCCCCGCTCCCGCCCCGAACTTTGAGGGAAAGCGGGGTGCGGCGGGGGGAGCCCCGCGGGGGCGATGCCGCCGCCTTCCCCCCCGCCGGCTGCGCGGCCGCGGCCCGGCGGCGAAGGGCGGCCCGCAATGGCTTCGCCGCCGGCGCCGGGACCCCGGTGCCACCTGCTGGGGGAAGGAAGGCGGCGGTTCCGCCGGCCGGGAGCCGCCGCCGCCACCCCGGGGCCGGCCCGCCGCCACACGGCCCCGCCGCGGGCTGAGGGCGAGGGGCTGAGGGGCAGCGCCATTTTGTGTCCCCCTCCCGCCGCCCTCTCGCACTCGGGCACCGGCGCTTCCCCCTCGGCGCTTCCCGCGGGCGCCCTGAGGGGCTGAGCGGGGGCAACTCTGAGGGGTTTGGCGGGACCGGGCCGGGTCCGGCGGGGACGGGGTTGAACTTGGCGTGCGGGAAAGTGGGCAAACCGCAGGGACTGATAGCAACAGCTGTTTGTTGCCGTGTTTCACGGGAATCACCACAAGGATGTGCCCGCTGGTGTCACGGAGCGAGGCCTGGAGGAGAGCGATGAGCCCCCGGCTGGGCTGAGGGACGCCGACCTCAGCCAAACCGGGATCGCCTCAGCGAGAGGAAGACGGTCCCTTAGCCAAACCGGGATCGCCTTAGCAAGAGGAAGAGTCTCTGCCTCTCCAAAGGAGTGAGATTTAGGGCGTCTGGCAGCCCTCCCGCCGGTCACCGCGAGGTCACCGCAGCCATACGGCTGGCCCAAACACAGCTGAAATTAGTGCTTTGATTTATTCACCACTTGACGCCTTCAGCCACACTTCCAGTTCGCTCACTGTGCTAAATTTCACTGCGGGTGGAGCGTTTATTTACAGCCGGGAGTGCTTTTTTGCCTGTTGCCTGTAGAGGAGGGACCCAGGCGTTTACAGTTATGACTACTGATAACTGCAAACACAGCTCCGATCGTCATCTTGTGTTTTTACATGTAGTCAGGCTGTGTTGTGACAAGGAGGAGAGTATGTGATACTTGCACACGCCTACTCGAACAGATGCAAATGCAGATCTTCCCTTGGTCTCCTCAGAGTACCTAGGAGAATCCCGTTGGCGCCTGTAATACTGACTGACCCTATCGCTTGGAATAATGACATAAAATTAGCAAGAGGAAAGCAAATTGAATACCAACAATAGTGATTTGTACCCTAATTGTGCGTGTAGACATAGTCAGACCTGAACTCTTCAGTGCAAAGTGCTGTCCGAACACCACACAGACAGTATACGTGGTTCTGAAAAGCAAAATCGGGAAATATCCTTAATGGTGAAGCAATATCAGCAAATATGCCTAATGGTAAAGTTTATTACATGCTGGAAAATTAAATTCATGAGGGAGGTTATGGAAACCTCACAGATTGGGTAAGGGTGTAATTTTCTATTAAATTGCTAAGTGGAAAATCCCAGAGGCAATCAATATGCTACTTTTGGAATTTTCCTAAACTTCTCTGTAAGACTTTTTGAAAGGAAACTGGGCTAACGTACTATTTAAAATCCTGCATTATATATTTTTGGGAGGATGCTGAAGCAGCAAAGGTAGATGGGTGTCATATGCTGTTTCCTGAATTGTGTGGGTCCAATTAATCTCTGGTATAGCACAGTGAAGTCGGGTCCGAAATGCAGTAGCAGTGTGCTTAAATTTTGTATACAAAAAGAGTATTTTCTCTTTCTTTCTTTTTTTTCCCCCTCACCCCAAGCAGTCTGCTGATTCCTGTTGCTAACTTTATTTACAAGACTTAGAGCATTGCTGAAACTCTTGTGTTTGATTCTCATCCTTCCTGGGACAATAGGAGAATTTTTATAAAGCATAAGGCCTTCATTTACAGTTCAGCTCACATGATGGGCTTTATCCTGCATTTGCCAAAGGAATGTACTGCAAAAATAAAAAGGTCTTTTCTGTTTTCCTCTGTTACTCAATTTTGTGAAACATTTTGGGGTCTAATTTATGAGATAGTGATGGCAGTGTTTTATCAGCTCCTCTCTTACTCCCTTTACTTCTTCCTTCTCTGTGCTGGATTTTTTGGCTTAAAGGGACACTCATGGTTTGAAGTGACAGTTCAGTCTGGATGCTGCAGTTTCCAGTAATGTTTTACAGGAGTTAGCACATCCCCTTTTTCATCCGTATTTCTCATTTTGCTTTTTTGAATTAGAGAGGTCCATCCTTTCCTACATGCAAAATAAGGCCCGATCCTGCAAGCAAACCTAATTGTGGCCACTCAGATGAGTAAATCTTGCAGCTTTCATTTCTGAAATTATGAGCCAGTATGGATATCTTGGCCCCGATCTGCCATCTCATCTGCATAAAAGTGAATTAGAAACTAGGACAAGGTGACTTCAGGTCAAAGTCTTCTAGTTATCCACACAACACGTAGGAGGATCCGGTAGCTGGAAACCAAGCTTTCTGTCCTGTGCTGCTGGTGTTTCTTAGCTGGGACTTAGGAACGAACCTACACGAACTCGAAGGTTCCCGTGTACAGGGAGTTGTGAGCCTGTTGTGGGGCATTTTGGGGTGGGCATCCTACAACTGGGCTGGGCTCATCTGCTCGTTTGTCACAGGCCACCATTGCATTATTCAGGCTGGAGGAATCCCGAGATGAAAGTCCTCTTTATCCCGTTAGAATGGCTGCCTTGTGTCCCGAGATAGTCGCCGGCTGCATCGCTGTGGCAGCCAAGTGACTTAGGATAAAGTGCATTGGCTGGGTGGGGGCAGCCAGCTTTTAATTTCATCTTTTGTTTCAGTTCATGTCTCAGTATCAGATTGTTATTATCGCATATTAACCCATAGTTCCTTTTTTTTTTTCTGGTGAAAATATGAAAAATTCAGAGTGTTTTGTATATATTCATGAACAATTGCAAAGTATTTCCTCAAACCATTAATTGAGTAATGTGTTTTTCAAAATACCATGAAATTAGCCAACTAAATAAGGGCTTTATCTTGCAACATATCCCAAGTCAGCTCATCCCTGACTATTTCCTAGTTACCAATTTATTATGCTGCAAATTACTTTCAAAATATCCCCTCCCCATTCTAACTGATATTAATTTTCCCAACAGTTTTCTGGTGTGTAAAATGCTTTTTCATTTTGGACGCTAGATCACGAGCTAACCAATTAAATATAATTAATCTAGTAATACTTCAGTACTAACAGCAGCAGTGCTCTTCACACCAGGATGTCCCAGACTTTTTCTCTGCTTCCAGGTGTGTCCAGTTCCTTACAATATTTTGATTATTATTCAGAAAGTCTAATGGTGTAGGACAAAGAAGACTAAAGAGTCCGAGAGCTGAGGAGAATTATATGAGTGTACTAAGAGCTCCTTCAGCTTTTCAGTTGGAAAAATTATACTGGAGAAAGCCTCATAAACTCGATGATTTGATCTGAGGCTTAAAGTCTAATGTCAAGGAATCCGTGTGAGGCCGGGTGAAGTGGGAAGAGGCTGCTGACTGTCATGTTAATGGCACCGTGATTACTACTCATCTTGGAGCCTGACAAAGTTCAGTGGGCTGTTAGGAAGCAGGAGGGTGAAGAGGTAAATTGGAGACCAGGAGCTCCACAGGTGACAGGTTAATAGGTGAGCTCTTTGGTTAGTTATGTGTAATGAATGTCACTGAGGATTTTATAAACTGAGACAGCGTTTCCAGGGATGTTTTTGTGGTCATACGACATATGTAGGCAGTACTTCTCAGTTCCCAAGGTGACAATAGGCCACATTGATGCTGAGCTGTCTTACTACAAACCTTCCCTTTCAGCAGGCTTTCAGGTCGGCATATCCAAGGACTGGGGTGGTACAAAGGAGGGTTTCTGGATGTCCTGAAGAAGTCTGAAGCCAGGAGTTCAGCTTGTTTTCCAATTCCCTGTTAGTTTTTCCTGTACCATTTCAGTTGTAGTACTTGACATTTCACATCTCTATCCTTACTAAGCTAAAATTTTCCTTTGGAACACTGCTTTGAAATGGCTTCTTGTCCATTCTGCTGCTTGTTAATCTTCCTCATATAAATTTAAAAGAAGAAAACTACAGGGCAGACCAATGTTTTCATCTGTTTGCTGGCTCAGGGACACCAAAACATTCCAGAACTGTTTAAACAACAAAGAATATAACCAAATCTATGTACAAAGTGTTCTTTGTGTGGTCAAAAACCCTCTGAATATTTTCATACCAGAATGCAAACCCCCTTTTGACTGTAAGGGCTTTTCCTCCCCTCTGTCATTTTGTGTGCAGCTTGGATTAAGGCTGCAGGAAAGGGCACTATAGTCTAAGTGTCAAAGTTTGATGGTCATACACTCTGATCCAATACTTGTGGGATAATTGGATATTAAGGTATTAACTCTTCCCTAGGACAAACCAGTGTTTGGATTTGAATTCTGGGAGGAGTGGCAGAGGAGACCAAGGTGTCTAAGCAATAGATGTGGTCAAAAGGTAAAGAAGAAAAGGTTTCAATGCTTTTATGAAAGTGAATATGGAAGAGTAAAAGAAGTCTGCTCATATGCATGGATGTCCTCTGCTTCCTCTGTAACATAGAGAAACCATAGGCTGCACAAATTTCAACCTTACAACCTTTCAACCTCGGCTTCAAGGAAGCTGAGAGTAATGTGAGTAGCGATTGTTATTTTGCCTAGAACTTTCAGGTTTTTTGCTATATGAAGAATAACAGTGCTTAGAAATTTTAGTCAAGATGTGTCTTTGCATTGCTACCACCTCTGTGTAAAGCAATGAAGTGTAAAGCCAGGCTGGTGTCCTGGGAAGGCGCGTGTTTGAGCTTTGGGTCGTTTGGAGTCGATGTCAGTCATGGCAGCCCGAGCACATCAAGGGTCAGCAGTCCCAGTTCTGGGGAGCACTGCAGGCACAAACTGCAGCAAGCTCAGCTCAGGGAGTCCCCAGCTAGGGAGCTCCACAAGGGTTATGCTCCTGATCATACCTCCATTTTTGTGTCAGTTTGCTTCAGTCACAGCTGCTCAAGGCAGATGTAGGAGTGCAGTGATGCAATCACTGGAGCTATGGATGGAAAGTGAGTGCAGCATCAGCTGCAGGAACAATAGCATTTAGCACCGTTAGACAGGCCCTGGAGGCTGTAGAATGAAGAAACCCAGACAACAGCCACCCTCCTCTAAGTCCTGACTGAGACTGAAGAGGCGACATTACTCTGTGCCTCCCCAGCCTGGCCTCTCTGTTTCCAGCTTGCCA